TAGAAAAATCTTGTGATGATTCTAAGATTGTTAAAACATCAAATGAAAGCCAAGATTATATTTTTGAGACGACGACTTGTTTGACTCATGACGAATAGAATATTGCAGCAATATCTAAAATTATGTAATGACGGCTATGGTGTGTTTGTAAAGTCTAGAGCATCTTGTCGCAAGTAGGATTTTTTTTCAATTTCCAAAAAGAACTAATTGTCACATTTTGATATAAATTGAGTTCGATATTCAGAAGAGTATGCCCGTAAAAAAGGATTTGATGGTTGGATTGCATTTGAGTTCAAAATATAAACAAAAGTTTCATTGAAGATCACATGAGCTTGAATGAACATTGTTGTTGAAATCTAGGTTTTTGTTTGAACACTTGTTTGTGTTGGAGTTTATGATCATGTCGGTAGTTCAAAATCTTGTACTGAAGTCATCAATTGTTCGCCATTCAAAGAATTCTTTTGATTGATGTTTGATGGAAACATCTTTGAAATCATTTTTTTAATCGTAGATTGCATCATATTTTAAGTAGTCTTGTTGCTTAGATCAAAAACAAAATTCTTCAGATTGTGATTCGGTCTATGATTGAACATGATAGGCATTTTGCTTCGACCAACAATTGCTCAGTATTTGTTTGAAAAAACATATAGTTATGGATGACCATGTAGTCAACTCATTTGTAGCTAGGCGGCTAGTTGATACAAACGGCTAGCCGGCTAGTGCTCCAAGTTTAGACGTCTAGGTGTTGGCTAAAGGTCTGATCACATATTTTGAGAATTCAGACACGTTTCTTTTCATTTCAATTTTCTTTGCGAATGAGAAATTTTTTTCTTGTTTTAGTGCTTGAGTTTTTCCTTGTTCAATGTCAATAGTACACATACACTACTTACATAGGAGAATATCTAGTAAGTAGAGAAACTTTTTACACATAAAGAGCAAATACGACAAACAATTACAAACACTGTTTATAAGAGCAAATCAAACATTACAAGAAAATTTTATGGCGTTGATGGACCAGAACGAAGACTCTAATAATGATGAACTTGCTATTTTGTCTTTATCTTTAATGAAAATATCTTATGAGTGTCGCCGCATAGAAAAAAAATGCACATCTTGGATTCGTCCATACTTTGTATATGTATCAAGATCCAATAGATTTGCTTGCATTGAAAGTAAGTTTTGTTAAAAAATCTATTCAATTATTTTGACAACTTCAAATCTTGTTCTTCATTTGAATAACAATCATTTCATCACTCATGAATCATTTGAAGGCGTATTGCCATATGATCCTTTCCAAACAAACTTCTCAAAATCTAGTTCATATTTGAAAATGCAGAATGTTTTAGACGAAGAGGCAAAAACCAACATCATGATGAGTGTTTAAATTGGATGATTGACACGAAGCAGAGCATTTCTACAATGAAATCAGCTTTTAAAAAAAAAAAAACGACAATTCCAAATTGATTTTGACCTGATTGTATGCGCATAACTCTTACGCGTGACATATTAGACGATATGATTATTGCAAGCAAACAATTTTGTTATATTGTAGAAGCAGTTCCGAAAAAAGTTGCAATTATTTGTGATGTGTGGTTCATCAGAACTCTGTGAAGTTATTTTGTGATTACGCTCGTTGGATTGATGATAGTTGGATGTTGCGTGTTTATACTCTTAACTTTAAATATTTTCCACCATTTCACGATCAATGATTTACAATGACGTCTCTTCTAGAATCTTGAGTATAGACAATATGCATACAAAGATTATAGTTGCAACAATAAATGATGTTAGTGAAATGATTTCTACTTTACAGCATCTACAAGACAAACATAAATTTGATGTCAATCTAGATTAGAGATGACATATTTCCTATATGTGCGATATTATGCATTGTGTTGTGATAACAGTGAAACAATTTTTAAACCTGAGGTAAAAGTTTCACGCAATGCTGAAAGTGATCCATTTATCTTCTTGTATGCGAGCTGATTTTCAAAAGGTCCAAATTCTTCTAGTAGCACGAGAATACAAGACGAATGAATTTTTTAGACTTGATGTGAAGAATAGGTGAAATGCCTTGTATACAATGATTGATTCGTTGGACAATCTCACGGAGATATTTCAAACTTTATCAAACATGTCCGAGCACTAGTCACAATACCTATAGGACGTGGGTACATATTATTGAAAGTAATTCTGATCAAGGCGCAAAGTTGACTCGAGCTGCAGGAACCTTTGCTCAAATAATTCAAAAAGTTTAGAATACATCACAATGTATTGTGCGGTTACCTTTGGGTGTTGACAAACTAATAGAATCCCGATGCCGAGCTACTAAGATTATAACTTTGACTTCACTTAAATGGACGACATTGAAGTGCTTCAAAGATTTTCTTGCTCTCTTTTATGAAATGATCATTCTATCTAGCGGATGATATGCAACATTATCAAATAAACCTTTGGTTTATGAATCATTAAGTAAACATTGCGAAGAAACCATCAATTGTATGATGAAATTTAGTATCATTGCTCCAAAGTCTAAAGATACTGCAAGAGCATTGATGGCAAAGCTGGAGAAATATTAGGAGCACTTAATTGATCCGCTATGTTAGAATATAATTACTCACTATTACTTCCACGAGTTTGAATTTGAACAATTAGCGTACTAATTGTTAGGATTGAAATGTAATGATTAGTATTCTACTATTACTTAGTATAGTTAACTCAAGGGCTGTGTCCCATGACAGGGATGTGTTCCATTGTTAGGGCATGATTTCACTAAAAGGTGTGATACTCCATGTACTTTGCATCCTTTGGTTCTATTGGGATTGGGTATTTAAACCCAATCTAATTAACTCTGTTCATCATCAACTATTTATTCAATTCTTCCTCAAACTGTATGTGGACTTTCAACTCTCATTGCTCTATTGATCGAATAGCTACCAATGTTGGCACTATCACTTGATCATGTGATTTCAAAGATGGATGAAGAAATATTAACTATGACAACATGACTTCAAGAAATTCTTCGACGACAATATGATATCGAGTGCACACATGAACATGCTATCTTGTTCATTTAAAACATCCAAAGTATGCTTATTGCTGCACTTAGATTACAATCTCCAATATTTAAATTTAACATTGGACATGGAACATAACTTAGAGCATGAGCTCTAATAGAGAGATTGTGAACATGTGATAATTTTTGTTGTTTACTATATATCTAATTGCATTGTTCCAAAGACAGATGAAGAAATAATAATTCTGACGACAAGACTTCAAGAAATTATTTGTTAACAATATGATATTGAGTGCATATGAACATGCTTACTCTTCCACTTTAAGAAATAACATCCAAAGTATGTTTATTGCTGCACGTAGAGCATAAGCTCCGATGTCTGAATGTTATTATGAGCATACAAAAATAAACATGCTACAATATTTGTTGTTTACTATAGCTCTGATTGCTTTGTGTTAATATATAGCTCTCTGTATGATGAAATTTATTTTCAAGTATGTTTGCTATAAGAAGTCTGTAGGTAGCTCATGGACGTTTGCGCCTTCATCTAAATGCATCGATGGACGCAATCATCGTCCATGGATGCAAAAGGCGAAGGCAAGAACGCCCCACACCTTCGAGCAAACATTGAGACAGAGTTTTGAGGTTACAGAATGTGAAAATGATGGAACTAGTTGTAGTAGGAGAATTGAAACTTTCTTATTCTTTGCGATTGGCACTTGGTCGGGTCATCAGATTTGCGAACTTAAGTTAGGATCTCACATCAGGGCTATCTCGAGGAGTTCAAATGACCTGAAGGATATTGATGCGGTATCTCGAGGCGTTCGGATGTGACAACATCTGGCACGTGGGTGAGAGTGACGGAATGGCTGCGACAACGTTGCTATTCGGCAGGCCGCTTTTGACAGCACCTGGCGGCGAACATGTGTCAACGATCAATGATGGAGTTCAGGGTCATGTGTCGGCGATTGGTGATTGGGGTTATGGTTTTAGACGGTTGAGGTTTTTGGCTGCTTGAGATCGGATAAGATGCAGGGTCGTTGGTGGAGACTCTCAATTTTTCTTGTCATATCTGGTGAATGGAGGAAAGGAAAGAGGAGTTCGGCCTGAGAGTGGTGTCTTCCGAGAGGAAGGAAAAGGAAGAGAGTGAGAGTTTGCGAAGTGGCGAGTCAGAGAAAGAAGTGGTGAAGTAACATGCCATGACGAACAAACATGAGGGATAAGTTGCTAAAGACAAACACAACGTCAAGTGTTGAAGACAAATGTCATCAAACGCAAAGTTCCAACAAGAGTAGTAAGATTCTACAACATTGTAGCAAGAGATCAAATCGAGTAAAACCGACGTGCAGACTTCAAATTATTACATTTTAGCTTCAAAGCTACTACAATAAGCGATCATCAAAGAATCTTGAAAATAAAAAAAACATCAAATTGCATGAGAGAATACAATTCTAGTTGAGATCTCGTAGTTACAAAACTCAAGCTCCGAAGAGCAGGTTGATTTTGCAACAGCTCATATCATAACTTTCAAATGTCTTGATTTTGTGCAATTGCGAGTTTAAAGACGTGACATTAAGACCATAGAGGTTGAAAATGCTCAACATACATCAAAGTTGGTTGAAAAATAAATTTAAATGCTTACAGTAACAAAGCATTTTTTTAATCAACCCTCCACACAAGCTAAAATTGGTGTTGTTCCTTCTCATGACATTTCCATGTTAAGTTCGATCAGTTACACGCAGAGCGTTAAAAATTCTGTATAGGTACTGGAAATAGTAAATTTTCAATATTATGTCTGTGACAACTTTGGAGCATTCTGTATACCGTCGGGCGTGAAAACATTGATGACGAAAGTTTTGTCCGGTTTCGAAAAGAGCTTGGAAATCCCTTCTTTGGTAGGGCCCTCCGGAATCCGGGCCGTGGATTTTCGAAAATGCTACAAATCTCAGGGACAAAGATAGTTGGAACTTACTGTGGCACGGATGAGATTCTTAGCGCAGTACTCAGCAGAGATGGAAGAACATGCATGACGAGAAGTGAGCCGTAGAGCTGCCATAGCCAGCTGCTCTGCTCCGAAGAAGAATATGTCTAAAATGTTGAACAGCGATGCAAATCCTGATTACATAATTGCAGGTCGTGCAGGACTTTGATCCGTATTCGGGCTATTTTGTGTCGAGTACACCTTGAGAATTCTGGGCTGTATATGCGGGAGCATTCTCGGGATGGCCTGTCAGAGGGCCCAGCTGATCTGTCGCCCCTACTCCGCAATCCAGGTTTGCACCTCTAAATTCTGTATCAGATGACACTTTAATAGTTCATTGCTTGAGGCTCTTATGTCTCATTTCCTCCAGTCTCCTGCACATTCTGCTGCTCGATTCCTGCAATTCGTCTTGTCTGAAATTCTCGAAATTGAATTTATTCAAATTAAGACAGCTATTTTGATATCACTTGGACGGGCCTCTTTCGGGGATTTAAGCGGCGATTGGTTGCTGCATGATGGGAACAGAAAACCATTGTTCTTGGGGAATTCAAACTCAACTTTCTGAGCAAATTCTTATCAGCACGCAAGCGGAATCGCCAGCCCCCTCATAAGAATATAAGCGCGAGAACACTTCATAGTCCCTGAGTTTCAGCAAGGATTTTTAGCGAGGATTTTTCATATTTCTGTCCTGAGGGATAAGAGCGTATCTTCACATGTGCAAGACTTCGTTGGGGTAGAAATTCACATTAAGGTGTTCCAACAAGTTCATCAAAAAACGTTGATCGAACTAGTTTTTGACGATTCTCAAGTTTTCAACGAGGAGTCTGAGTAGCTGCTCCCTGAACCAACGAAACATAGTGGACATTCATTCTTTTGAGAGGCTCAGGATTATATTTATTCTGAAGATAATTTTTTCATACTCTTCTCTTGGGAACCCTGTCAGGTCTTGAAAAGCCGAAGTAACCTCTACTTGATTGATCTACAGCCATGGAGCATGAATTTCACGTCATGAATTTCACGTGGTATCTCCTTCGTATTGCACAGTTGTATATTGTAATTTTCAAATGGCTCATTAAAAATGAAGTTCAGTTTATGTTTACATAGTTCGTGACTTTGTCCTGTCTTGTAGATTTTCGGCACAAAGCAGTTCTTGTCAGGTCTTCATAGCCACCTCACGGTTTCTTGCGGAGGATATACTGCACAATCGAAGCTCTGCCTCGACTTAGCTCTTCACGTTCTTTCTGTGCGGAGAGACAGAACGAACACAACACGAATTTATGCGGGCAAGCCAGGATTTGGAGCTCAACCGAAGAAAAAGTCGAAGGTATGTACGAACTGGGATGCGGCTTCCTAGGAAATGTTTTGTCTGCAACAAAAGATGCTTGATGGTGAGCATTTATTGAATCTAATTTTAGTTTTTGCAACTGGCTTTAACGGATGCAGAGAACAGATCGTCCTCAGCAAGAAAAGGACGCTAAGGATGTCGTACTGGAGGCACAGTAAGAGTTTGGATGCTATTTCAGTTTCTCAATTGCTCTTCTTGCATTATAATCTGTTTCTAACTCAGTGGTGTATCATTGATTGTTGCTCGTATAAGTTTCGATTCTCGCCGTGTGTATTATACGTGTTGGTTTGCTGTGTCACTTTTTTGATGGTTCTTTGTACCAGAAAAATTCTCGCCAAAAAGCAGGAAGGCAGGAAGGAAACGACCACAACGATAGGTGACTCCTTGCCCTTGGGGTCAACCCATGCCTTGCTTGACAACCACCGCTTGTTCACTGGATTGGTAGACTTCAGACACATGCAGGGAACAAGTTTTGTCCTTATTTTCCTTTGTGCTTGAGAGTTAACTTTTCGTAATTACATTCGGCCAGTTTCCGTTGTGAAAAACGGCATTAATTACCTTTGAAGTTTTTTGTTCTCCCATAATAATTCTTTTCTTTTTGAAAACAATACCGATAACCTTAAAGCTTATTGTGGTGTTTTGGATCGGTAACAAAATAGCCCATTTGATGTTCTCACTTTATCAGTATCCACTTGCTTTCTTTGATAAGTGAATGATATATTTAGTCGAGACTACGTTGACCAAAGCCTCGGTTACAAAGCTCACCAGAGAGGACATGAGATAATCCTACAAGTGACAGGTTTAGGTGTTATTGCTCGCAATTGCGACAATTTATCTCTTGTTTGGGGTCCTGTTGCTAAGGAGCGGCTCTCTGAAAGCCTGATTTCCATGAAACAGAGTTTGTGCAATTCTTGGTTCTCTTGCATTTTGAAAGCCTAAAGGGCATTTTTTGACCCTGGATCAGAGGAACCAGTAGGGGCACCTGACCTTTTGATTGCCGAGGACAAACCTACGAATGTTTTGGATGAAGGGGACTTCGAGCGTAAACTTGCAAATATTAAACGGTATCACTCACATCATCTTCGAAAGTGACCATTTGTTTTTTGTATCGTCTTTTCATATCCTTGGAAATATAACTTGCTTGCTATCTATCATTATCGTTACCTAAAGAGGTTTTAACCCTGGAACCAGGAGTGCCAATCAGAAGATTTTTTCATGACTATGCATCTTCTCGGAAGTGAAATTGATCTTCTTTGTGGTTGTTACCAACGTTGAAGTTTGGCTGAAGAACAAAAGAAGGTGGATGAGGCAAAGAAATTTGGAGCAATTGATTATGATGCCCCCGTCCCGGCTTCCCCAACTGCCCTGGCTGACAATGTCTTTGCTAAAGTAGGTTACATATGATGCGATGTGATTAACGTTTGACAGAAAGTTGACATCATCACTGGATTAGTACATGTTGTAGTCTTCTCCTGTTTGAAGTTGGAGAAAATTATTGCGTTCCTCCTGTAAACATTCTCTTGAAAATTTGGACATGATTTACGTGCACTTGAGGTTACTTGGAAGTTTCTCTTGGAAGTTACTTTTTATGTTGTAACCCGCGCTAACTGATTCCGTTTGTTGAACCAAAAAAAGTTCGGAATTGGATTAGCAGTGATCGTTTTTGGCCTGCTGTTCGCTCTTGGAGACAACCTTCCGTCTATCAGGTAAACATCAGTTTGCTCCATTCTAAAACCAAAGTGGTAAAACACGTACTTTCTGCAACCCTCTTGGCATGCGGAGGTATTACATAAAGGGTCAGAACTTTCGTACCGTAGTATATGTGTCGTGTGGAGCCAGCTGAAAGTTGGATCCGGTCCGACGGTCTGGACCCAACTTGTGACTTGGTAGGAATGAGGTTACCAAATCGAATCATTTTACATGTTGATACTTTTAGCTGATTGAGTTTCTGAAGCTGTTTTCGGGTCAAACACTAAAATGATACCCTGGTTACTGCAGCCCCAAGGCGGAGAAGGCAGGCTTGGTAGAGAAGATGCAACTGAAACCAGATGAGAGGGTCAAACTGGAGGTAAATTCTCTACTAGTTTTTCCTGTCACCTGATTGACTTGTACAGGGAATTGGTGGTTGTTTTCGATTTCTGTATTTGTTCTTGTGAGATGTTTTTTGTTTCTTCTAGACTAGTGCTGATATGTCACAAAGTTGTAAGCTTACTATCTCACGGAAGACTTTTTCGGCAGGCGCAAGTTAAAAACTTGGAAGAAGCATTGCAAAAGAACCCTGAGGACCGATTTTCTCTTGAGGTATACATTCCGTCCCCATCACACGCGCAGAACTGTATATTCGTGTAATTAGTGATGCCAGGATTTTGTCGGACGGTCGTTTGAGTAAACCTTGTACAACTTCAAGAGGTTCTGTCTGTTGGCACTTTTCAACAGTTTCGTTCCTTTTTGCAGGGAGCTGGTGTGATCTATGCCCAGCTTGGAGATTTTGACAAAGCTGCCGAATTCCTCTCCAAAATTGTTCAGGTCGATTTCATACGTCTGTTCGATTGGATGTGTTCTCTATTTATGAATTCTGACAATTCTTCTCAAGGACTCGTTTTTATCATCGAAGAAAATATTGCTAAAAGATGTCCACGATATCGTAAGACAGAAATCACCTCGAGATGTGGAGGCTCTGCGGTTACTTGCGGAGGTTCAAGGTGGTAAAGGAGATTTCGACGCGAGCATTGTCGCTTATCGCGCTGCTATTAGAGTAAGTATATATGCTTAAAGAGGTGAAATTCACGCTCTTGCGCTGCTCGGATCAGCGGTATGGGATTAATGAAGAGAAGGTTACTACATTCAGAGCATGGAGCTTAAAAGGTTTGCTAGAACTCATACAAGTAGAACGTGCCTCTTTTCTGTCTGGGTTTGTTCCCCCACACTCGGCGTCTTTCTTTCTCTGTTATTGGTACATATACCTTCGATAATTCGTGTGCTTTGTTGATTGCGCTTTATAGGCGTCTCCAAAAGAATCAATGACATTACTCCAAGGTCTCACTGACACCCTGATCGCTGCCAACAAGCCTGGCGAGGTACTATTCTCCAACTTTCCTTGATCTCATAGGACGTATGAAATTCCACCAGTACATCATACACTTGTGACAAAATTATTCATATAGTGGAAATAGAAGATGCATCATACACTTGTTAGAAAATAATTCATAAATTTTAAAAAGCAGATGCGCTTCTAAAAGTATCTTGCTGATTTTCTAGGCTGTTGGTGAACTCCTGGCCGCGAGGACAAGATTGAAAACGAGTGTTCAGCAAGGGTTGTTACCTTCGAATGCTGATGACAGTACTCAAGGACTGAATCCACAGAACTACGAGCAGATCGATCCTATACAGGTACAATTGAATCATGAGTCCCATTCAATGTCTTGATGGGCTTATGATCACAACTTAACGTAAGATGATCATTGTTTCCGGTGAGGTTATCATTTTTCATTCGCATTTGGAAACTTGTATTCAGTTGATCTCATCATTTTTCATTCGCATTTGGAAACTTGTATTCAGTTGATCTCATCATTTTTTTCCTAAATTCATCAAAGGTTCTCATGGTCCAGAGGTTACCAGACATCTATTAGTTACGGCTCCCACTTCTTCATGTCCAAATTGCAGATTTTGAATACTTTAGGCAGGAAGCAGTAATAAAACAACGCCTTTATCTGCTTGCATGGTAACAGGTGGAGCTTCTTCTAGGTAGATCCTACGCAGCATGGGGTAAACCAGGTGATGCTGTTTCGGTTTATGATGAGTTGATAACGCGTTACCCCGACGACTTCCGAGGCTATCTGGCAAAGGTAACTTCATTCTCGACACCAATGACACTCTAGTAGGGATGTCATTTCTCATCCATTTTGATTCTCTAGTCTTTAGTAACAATGTAAAGTGACCACACTCTCGACTCGGAACTTTCAGGGTGTGCTGCTGAAGGATCAAGGCAAGACAGCAGATTCAGAGCGCATGTTCATTCAGGTCCGTTGTCTTCAAGTCCCACTCAACAATTTTTGTCTCTACGTGCCTTCTTCATGGCTTTGATCTTCATTCTGCTTAAGTCTTTTCAAGTTTCCAAAAAGTCTCTAGCATGCCACGAAGCGGTAAGGTCATAGCCTAAAAGGCAGGTAGTTGCCAACCTCTCATTTGTTGGACCGAACAAACCCCGAGTTGATTCACCTTCGTGTTCTGGGCATAATGTTTCTTCTGGTACAGTCCACGATCGACCGGAATAAACAGGACTCGGGCTTCTTGTCCTAAAAGCGGTTTTTCTGGTACTTTTGCCCTCGAATCACACGGGTTCCCATCAAATTTTGCAATCGAGAATGTAATTCAGTGCTTCAACTATTGTCCCTGACATGCCTATGACTAGTGCAGGCCCGATACCTGGCTCCACCAGAGGCAAAGGGGGTCGTTGACAAATACTCCGGCCGTCAAGCAATGGCGAGCTGAACGACATCTGTTAGCAGCACATCTAAGGTTGCTGAACGTGTACATCATGAATCTTAGTGAGGGAACAAGGGGACCAGTTGCCTCTTAATTTTGACTCGCTCCTATTTACAAAACGGCGGTTTCATCAAAATTGCGCTCTCTAATTTCGGGCTCGTCTCCTGCTGATTTATCTTGGGAGTAAATGACGACTAGGACACAGTCGCGAGGAAATGGCATAGGTTTCAACTGTACTAATACAAGCAAAGCAATTGAATTGCTTTGAGTTTGAGTCATGGTAGTAAGCTGCAAGTCTCGTTGTATTCTATTATAGATAGAACGAAAATTATTGAGGCTGTGGTTCTAAATTTTTGCTGGATTCAGTTAAGTAAAAACAGCGGATCTGGGAGTGTTATACAGACTACATAGACTGTGTGTTCTGTCTTATGAGTCATGTGGTACTAGCACATCTTTTTAACGTGTTCTGTACATTTCACCAAGTTTGCGAAGCGCGATGCCACTTTGAATGTATATCAATATTTTGTGGGGAACCAACGTTGTACGTGACGCTCTGCTATGTGCAGTTGAGAGCTTCTTCTTGTTCCTTTATGTATTTCGTGCACGTTTTACATGCAGTCAAGCAAGTCAAGGAAGCATAGTGTATTTAGCATTTCCCTGGCGATTGGATGTTGGAAGTTTGTCACTTTACAGTGGACTGGGGATATTGTTACTGAGTGTTAAATAAACTTTGTCAAGACTTGTCTAATTTCAAAAATGAGAGCCTCAATTGAGTACCGCTTTGTTCACCACAGTTTCATGCATCGTTTCAAACTAGGTATTTCTTTAAGAATTATCACTAGTAATTGCAAGTATATCTTGTAGTTGGCTTCGACTGTGACCGTAGATAAGTGTGTGCTTGTTCCTAGGCCGCAAAACAATTGTTTCAAGTTTTTTGAAAATCTTTCAAAGTGCTACTTCACAACCGGAGGTATGAGCAACAATTTATTCAATTCAACATCTTGCCCAAACAGGACAGTCCACTCTGTCGGTAAGACATGTTCTAGATATGTAGGAATCCTGTCCCTTTTTTTCTTACGCGATTGAGATGGAAAGGGGGTCATGGGAACAGAACAAAGTGCTGGGGTGTTGGAACTGGGGTCTTTCAATCGTAATAATCTCAGGACCGAAAGGTATGAAGCAACATTTCACTTTCCATGGGAAGGTGAAGCACGGCGAAGTACCCAGATAGGCACGGAAGGCAAGTTTGCTAAACCCTGCTGCGTGTTTCGTTCCTCAGAGCAGATCGAATGCGCATATATTCGATGCACAACATCATACAGGGCGATTCTCCGAGGTAAATCAGAACTCTCGTGAAGAAAGCTAAACCACCTGAAAGCTTACTAGGCCTCAATTGTTACCAATGACCGCAGATTCCCAACAACCAAAACTTTCGAAAACCTTTCCAAGAGTTTGTTCCCTGTAAATTCCCGGCAGAAAAATCAAGACGTGAACCCCGGGATCACGAGTTGCGCTTGTCGTAGGCAGCAATATTTTGTGGTTCACAGGCAGGCTCCCACAACCTTGTGTACACTACCATCGCAGCTCCGGCACCAACTGTGCCACATAGTTGCCATCTCAGCAGTCTCGGTCTTGTCATTCGCGGACCTGTTCACGATTCCACTAATCTTGTCAATGTCGAACAAGTGATTGTAGTACACTTAGTCGAACTGAACCAGCTTTGACAGGAATGACTGCTCACATCAACTGTGCCGCAAACAGAGAACTTACTGAAGCAATTGGATCTACACTCCTTCACGACCGTAAAATTTCTGAATGATATCGATTACTTCGAGGCAACTGTGTCACAAAAAAAACGATAAGAGGAAACGGCCTTTGCTGCAGACCATACCATAGTAAATTACACACAGGGGCCAGGAGCAGATGAATCCACCCAAAGATGCCACTGCAGCAAATGCCTTCGTAATGCGAGAGCACGGAACAGCATCTTCCCGCATAATCTCGCCATGAGATTCACCCAGAGCTTGCCTGAGCGCCATTTCCACCAAGGAGCGACCTGACGGAGCGAAGTCCTGCAATCAGCCAATCTGCAAGGAATTTATATAAGAAAACAATGTTTGCATTTGATCTACGCCACTTGACGACTTCAAGGCTCGTGTAGCTCTTCATTGTAAAGACCTTCACAAAGTCTGAGGAATCAAAATGAAAAGAAATGTGTAGGAAATGATGATTCCAGCTTACTGTCACACTTGTAGATGTAAACCCTAAATCCTCGAATCTACTCAAATTCGGCAGCTTTGTGCGCTTTCATTTGAAGGACTAGTCCTCTTGTCGTGCTATACTGCTCGGCACCACTTTAGACTCTAGTGAGCTTCAGTCAAGCGTAAGGCCTTTTCCGTGTATTGTAAAATGAGAACTGAAAGCTTAGAGTTGAACACTCCTTTTACCGTTTACTTTAGACCAGTGTCATCGATGACTACCTCGCCTGCGAACCACAGAGAACCCTCGCTGCACTTTGCATTAAATCAACTCTAAAGTCGTCGAGAATACACCGATTCGGAATCTGACTTCTTCCACACGAGGTCGAGGTCATGGGGGCCCGGAACCATGGAGGATTCATTAAATTCCATCGGTGTTGTTCCTCCGCTGATCATTGCCAGTTAATACGCTATTTCCACTGACCCGAGGTCGCCACGAGTCCGACCTGCGAAAGTGCAAGCTCTGGCGTGAGGGATACCGGCGATTTTGGCGGCTTGCTCTGCCTGGCCAAGTGAAGCTCTCGGCTGATTTGTCCGAGTCGAAAAAAAGGGAGAGCTCCGCTGTCCTTTGCGTCGCATCAGAGGAGGCTAGTTCGCGAAGATGGAGGCCTAGCGGCGGTGTTCGGGCCAATGGTGTTGCGCAGAAGCGGACGGTGTAACAGAGAGGAGGACCAGGATATTTGCGGGGCCCACCGAAAAATTGCTGCTCGGCATTCCATTTGGCCAGCATTCCAATTCGCAGCACAGGAAAAGCTTGTGTCATCCTCAGCAAGCGGTCGATGCTGAAGCCACGCAGCTAAGATTGCCTGTGGCCTCTGTGCCAACCCCATCCCCTTCCTCCCCGAATGTACTCCTCTTCCTCCCGTTCTCCACCCCATATGTCTTGGACATCGCTCTCCGCGCTTTGAGGTGGATAGCTACCCGAATTGTCCCCCTGGATATGCTCGCAGTACTTCTACTCCCTCTTCACTCGAACCTGTCCCCTGAAGCTCACTCGGAAGCGTAAGTGGGCGACATTGACGTCTCGGGCGTTGTTCGAAGTCTTCATCTCTGCGGGAATGCAGTGTTAGCTCTCCCGACTCCGAGCTTCTTCGCCCCACTGCAGGGCCGAACACGCTTCGCTCTGGCGCCATCTCCTTGATTTCTCATCAGCTGCACACCATGGCAGCTCTCACTCATGTTGTGACTTCCAGTGTCTGCGGACAACAATGGGGAAGAGCTGGCGTGGTGAAATCTTCCGGATTGTCCGACTGCTCGCCCAGTACATCTGGAGCATGGGCTGGAAGACAGCAGCTTCGCCATGAGCTGCACGGAGTGAAGGTTGCCACCCGCAGTGTTGCTGCGGTCCGGAAGAGTACTACTGTTGGCCCTGCAGTCTGTACCTTGGCTGTTGAAGACCTCTCAGAACCTGCAGGTAAAATTGAATGTTCAATACACTTTTGAGGAAGTTCGTGTGGAGATCCACAGCTTCTGCCAACAAATTCGTTGACAAATAGACTTTTGCCGAGCATATCAATTATGGACTTGTAGACTTAATCCAATTCTTCGGGCCCACGGATTTATCCTTCAATTTTAGCACTTCCCGTTGAAGTCTTGAAGTTGTTTGCTGTTTCGGTTTCGGTCACATAGTATTCTTCATTTCCTGAGTTCACCCAGTATCGCTTTGTGCAGCTACTGCTGCGAAAAACCTCAAAGTGAGGTCTGATATTAGAAATATTGCCATCATCGCCCACGTTGACCACGGGAAAACAACCCTGGTGGATTCCATGCTTCGTCAGGCAAAGGTACACCCTGCTGTCCCATGTCTATTTTTTCATGAAGCAGGGACTGGAGAGATGAATGTGCAAGAACAATTTCTTGGGGACGGAATTGGGCACAAAGTTTGTTCACCAAAGAGAAACAACCAAGCTTTGGCAAATGTGACTGACTTCTGTCTGTCCCTGCCGCACAGGTTTTTCGAGACAACCAGGCAATGCAAGAAAGGATTATGGACTCGAATGATTTAGAGCGGGAAAGAGGAATTACTATTCTCAGCAAGAACACGGCTATTCGCTACAAGGGAACGAAGATAAACATTATAGACACCCCAGGACATTCTGACTTCGGAGGTGAAGTGGAGCGAGTGCTGAACATGGTTGATGGGGTTCTCCTTCTGGTAAGAAAGCCGTGCTGAAAGATGTTCACGGGTTAACATAAAATTGCCGTAAGATTCAATCTACTGTCTGTTATTTCAAAAGACCATTTAGACTTATTAAATTGCTGTCTCTCACCGTAATTGTTCTCTCTTGAAGGTGGACTCTGTGGAAGGACCTATGCCCCAAACGAGATTTGTCTTGAAGAAGGCACTTGAGCTTGGACACACCGTGGTCGTGGTTGTCAACAAGGTTGATAGACCAAATGCTCGAGTTGACTACGTTGTCAACACCACGTTTGAACTCTTCGTGGAGTTGAATGCAACCGACGAACAGGTATTCAAAACGTGTGTCCAAATGTAGCTTTCTCGAAATACGTACGTGAGCTGATCAGTCGTCTTCTCTCTGAATCATACTTACTTCTGTGTTGATCTTCTCTGCAGTGTGATTTCCAAGTTGTGTATGCGAGCGGAATTCAAGGCAAGGCTGGATTAGAACCTACAAACCTGGCAGATGACCTAGAACCACTTTTTGAGACAGTGATACGCTGCGTCCCTGAACCTCTTGTATCTGCCGACGGACCTTTGCAGATGTTGGTAAGAAATCATCTCTTTGTCTTGTCGATAAAGGCCATCCCAAAATACAAACTTAAGGAGCATGGGTGACCTGTGATAACACAGGGACTTGGAAATAACCTGAATTTGTCGATCAACGCAAAAATTGTTTTTATCTTACTTGTTGAGACTCTTCAGGTGACGAACTTGGATTACGATGAGCACAAAGGCCGAATTTGTATTGGACGTGTGCACGCCGGAACTATCAATAGGTCACAAGATGTGAAGGTGAGGTTCTGAAAGATTCAAATCACGTTCCATTCTATTCGTGCGGCCCTTCCATGTAAGGTATCAGGGAAAGCTGGGTTACTGGTAATCATACAACACGTATGGAGTTTCTTACGTTGTGGCCGGTGGTTTCATAGTTCTTGAAGATGTTGAGTGTAAGTCTAAGTTTGGTGCATTTTCCTGGCAGGTTTGCACTCCCGACGGAAACTGTCGAACGGCCAGAGTGAGCGAGTTATTTGTATACGATAATTTCATTCGTGTGCCAGTTGATTCTGTCGCTGCCGGTGATATCTGTGCCCTTTCTGGGCTTGACGATGTCATGGTACGTGCTCTTTATCCCTCGGCTGGTCCCTCTCCGCAATGAAGATGAACTTGATTTTGAGCTGAACTGAACTTAATATCACCACTTCTTGTTGACATGTCTTGATGATGCATATTGAGTTGCGTATTGATAAAAGGCCCTCTGTTCCTCAGATCGGAGAGACCTTGGCCGACAAGCTGGAAGGTGTAGCGTTGCCAACTATTAAAGTTGAGGAGCCCACTGTGAAAATGTCTTTCTCGGTTAACACCTCTCCTTTTGCTGGACGCGAGGTACATTTCTCCTCTTTGTAGCGGCCTTGCGTTCCCAGCTGTAGACTCTCTTTTCGCACGGCTTTTGAGGAATTCCGATTAGGACGTAGATACTGAAAGTTTCGTTTCTTTCAGGGTAAGTTCGTAACTAGCAGGAATCTTCGCGATCGTTTGTACCGGGAACTTGAAAGGAACCTGGCAATGAAAGTTGAGGATGGTGAGACGGCTGACACATTCATGGTCAGTGGGAGGGGAACACTGCACCTCACCATTTTGATCGAGAACATGTAAGTTATTTTCGTCTTGAACTCTTTTCGACAGTCTTATGTTTTGGAGGTTTTTTATGAGGGCCGGAAAGGGCCCTGTTTGGATGGATGGGCTCCAGTCGTGCTGACAGTCTTTCGCACTTACGCAGGCGAAGAGAAGGGTACGAATTTATGATTGGACCACCAAAGGTCATCAACATGGAGGTTAATGGGAAGAAGCTGGAGCCATTTGAGGTATACTGTCTGGTTTGACGAAATGAAGTGGACTATCTCGTATCTGCAACGGAAACATGGTCCTAATTTTCGGAAGTCACTATTTTTAATCAAATAAATCTATCTGTCTTTGTGAATGAAGTCTCGGGTGATTTGTTGTAATATACACTGCCGTAATCACTGTGCTCGTTTACCAATCTTCAGGATGCCACTGTGGAAGTTCCTCAAGAGTATGTCGGCGCAGTGGTTGATCTGTTGGGTAAGCGACGTGGACAAATGCTCGATATGCAAGCATCCGGGTATGTCACACTTCACTGTATCCATTGAGCGTGCCCTACTCTTTTCATCACCACAAGCCGAAGATCTGACCTTGCTGGCTTTCACATGTGCAGCCTTGAGAATTCAACTTTGGTGAAGTACAGAATGCCGACTAGGGGTCTTCTCGGTTTACGAAACATCTTGCTTACAGCGTCAAGAGGAACAGCGATTCTGAACACGCAGTTTCACGGGTTCGGAGAGTGGGCTGGAGATATTAGTACCAGAGAACAGGGATCACTGGTACGCTCGCTAAGTTTGAAGTCTCTGCATAGTAAAGTCTTACCTGAATGCAGAAAGTTACATAGAGTGGCCACATCACACTTTCTAATTTTCTTCTATGATGCAGGTGGCCTTTGAAACTGGATTAGCAACTTCCTACGCTCTGTTCAGCTGTCAAGAAAGAGGACAGTTGTGCTTGGGCCCGGGTGTTGAGGTTTACAAGGGACAAATTATTGGTGTTCACCAACGTCCAGGAGATTTGGCTTTGAATGCCTGCAAGCGAAAAGCTGCAACAAACGTCCGATCCAACAAGGAAGCAACAGGTAATATTTCATCTGAGTTATCTGATTGTCCTAGACTAGAGTGTGTACGCACGATGTATTTCGCTCCTGACAATTTTTCTGTATCTTCACACTTACGGGTGTTTCTGTCGTATTGCAGTCGTCCTGGCTTCGCCATTGGAATATAGTTTAGATGATTGCGTAGAATACATTCAAGAGGACGAATTGGTAGAGGTAACTCCGTTGAGTGTGCGCATGTGCAAGAACCCGAAAATGCAGAAGAAAAGGTAAAATATCCCACTTAGAAACTATTTTTGGGAAATTGTGTCATCAACACTTTGACCAGTCTTTACATTTTTCTGGGAGGCTGGGAGTTATATATACAACAGACTTACTAGGAAAAGATAGCCGAGTTTCACTAGATGAAACACAGATCATGCTAAAAAGGGACGTATATCATTGTTAACCAGATTTGTTGGTTATTTCTCATACGGTAGTGATATCTGTCCTCACACGAAAGAAATCAGAATATAGGGAAATTGAATCTGTCAGTTTGGCAACTTCCGCGTCTGTATCAAAAATTGAAGAATGTTAGTATTCAAAAACTAGAAAGTATGCGCGAATGTTTTTTTTATATTTCTGTTGCATTTTTTGGATGTTGTAATATAGCGAATGCTGTCTGGATATGACCCTCAGTAGTGTAAACCTTTTTTGTCTTCTGTGCCAAAAAATGTATGAAAGCCTTCTGTTATTTACGCAATCAGGGAAAAATTGCGTAGGGAACAAGGTATTCCGAGCAAGTGACCATGGATGATTAGACAGGGAAAATGTGGAAGTAATGATGAAAATGAAAATGAAAGTAATTATCATATAAATTGAATCATAAAATAAAATATGATGTTTCTCGAAACTGCGCGTCTCCATCATCTTGATTACCTAAATCAAGGTCCACAATTCCCACGTTGTTGGGAAGCCTCGTTAGTAAAGTTTCATGTTATAGAGTCTTACTCATGAGGAGGTTGAAGATTCGGCCAGGCCGAAGATTTTCAATGCCACAGCAGCACGAATTCGAAAAGTTCACTGATTTGTAGTGGTGATAGCTTACCTCCTCGTACCCTGCGTCCAAGAATCTACCTGCTTGCATGTTTCCTCGGAGTTCGCAAATATAGACCCTCTACATTAGCCGAGGGATGAACTGACCCCTCGAATCCTCTACCTTGAAATGACAGTAAAATCATAGATTATATCCCAGGATTATTGTGACGCAGCATTTTTTTTATGTACCAAAATATATCATTCACAATGTACATGCGAGGTGTTGTTTTAATATCAGCCTGCACATTAAAACAAAACATGGCCGGTGCAAAACATAAGCCTTGTTCTTTTGAAATTGTTTGTCGGGAATGGGCATGCAATGCTCTAATCTCAGGAGTTATGAATATCATAAGAGTGTAGAGGTTCCTCGTTGTGGCATTGTAGGCCTCAATTGTTCCAGTTTAGATGCCTTCGAAGAGCTAAATGGAAACTACAGTTTAGTAGCGATATTGGCTGTGGAGGAAAGCCTGTTCATTCCAGTCTAGATTGCTTCTCGTTCATGGTTACATGGTTCGTGGTTACGTCAAGAGCTTTCAAATGTATTGATGAACACGCACATGTCAAAACACCTGCGTGTTCATAAAAAAAAAAAACACACACGTCTTTAATGCGGTCATGTTCTTCCATGCTGTGCGCTTTACTTGCCCAGATTCTGTTTATGATTGTCATGTGCACATGCATATCTACCACGAAGGTCTATAGTACAAAGAAATATAACCTTCTTGCGCCCGTCCATTCTATGAAGACAGTGTAGAATCCTAATTACTAATTAGGATTCGACACTGTCTTCATAGATGGATAAAAGCATATAAATGTATAAAATCATGCTAATTAGTAATTAGCATCCTTCTCATTAGTGGTTTGGCTCATATTGACACGCAGGCCGTTTACGTACACAGTGAAAGATCAGAGTGGCTACACACGAAGTGTGCAATATGTTAACTTCCGGACGGAAGTATGCTGGTGATAGTGAAAGTACAAACCAAAATTGATGACCAACCAATACGGACTAGTGATATTCATTAAAGCTCACCCCACCATGAAACACAAAAAGATCCGATACATTCTTCATTGTGGCATTGTAGCTCCCATTTGTACCTTCAAAGCTGGAAACGAACAGGCGTTCCTCCACAACTAATATAGTTACTAAAAAGTAGCTCCCACTTTGTCCTTCAAACGAGGATACATTGGAACGAAGCTCTCCATCACTAGTGTTCCTTCAATCGTCCTCCCGAATATCGCATGACGACATGCGATATTCGCGAGTACGATTGACGAACACTTGTGATGGAGAGCTTCGTTCCAATGTATCCTCGTTTGAAGTACAAAGTGGGAGCTACTTTTTAGTAACTATATTAGTTCCGTCAACTCGCGGATAATTCCGAAAACCGTACAAGAATTTAACAGCGCCAGTATAAAGACCTGCCTGCACATGTATCACAAAGTTCTTCAGGTCTAACATCATTTCACATTTTGTAGCTCGAACGGACTAAACCAATAGCGAGAAAGGATGATTCTAGCCTAGACCTTGTCGAGCCAGCAAGGTGAGCAGTCTCTGACTCCCTACCATAACTCAAACTGAATGCGTTTCAAATCTGGTGATAAAAATCATGGAACCCACCTGGAACGTCACGAACTTGCTGTCAGATGCTGGCTCCAGTTTGCCACTCTGCAGCCAACGATCTAGGTTGAACTGTGCAGCATCCGGACCCCAGATAGAAGTCATTCGAGCCATAGAATATGGTGAAATGAAGACTACGTTCCCTTTCTTGCTGCTTATGAAGACTTCTCCTGCTGGAAGTGTGTCGTCTTCTTCTATGTCCCTGGGGTCCTGCACGAGCGGGAACCACCGCTGGTTACAACACCTTACCAATCTATACCTTACCGATCAGATTCATGTCGTGGCAATTGGTCACCATATAATCTGTTGAAAGGTCGAGTCTCCTCTTTACGTGGGCCTATGTCTAGCCATGTTATGATATTGCCACCATGATTCTAAGAGCCCTGAAATCCAGGTCTGTTAGTATCATAGACATAGGCCAACGTAACTCGAGGTCTACAAAGATGAAGATGAGAATCACGTTCCAAAACCAACGATGAAGGAAGATGTGGCTCATGAGACATACAAGAGGCACCGCCGGGTGAAGCCGAAGAGTCTCCTGAAGGCAAGCATGCAAGAAAGGCAGCTAGTCCAGAGACTATCAGCGCAGCAAATTCACGAATTCGTGTGTCCATCATGCGAACGTAGTCTTCGTCTTGCAGGTCGACATCCCAATACTGCTCCACCGAACATTGGCATTCGAATTGTCTCCTGCTCTCATAGTCTCGGAGCTCTAAGTACAGTATGTGCGACGCATCTGAGTGCATACTCAACTCGTAGACAAGCCACGTGAGTGTCACCCCAATAGCATCCCGACTGGCGATCACGAAGTTGATGAGGATATGCCGCAGTAACTCGTCCGTCTGGGGTTGTCTGCGTGGTAGTCTCTCATCGTAATTTGGAAAGGAGATCACTCGCATACAGGGTCTGCAGGCATGACCACAACAACTGAGCATTTATATCTCATCCATTGCACGAGGACCACGATCTTTGCACCTGTGATTGACGAGACTACCTAAGTCTACGCTGGTGCCACCAACTGCAGCAATTCAGACAGCAAGATGTGAGATAAGTGAAACATACTGGCGTGAGCCAGGTAAGCTTGAGCCAGATCGTAGACTTGCCCATGAAGATGCTTGAGCTCGGCTTTTCTGTCAGCAATCAGGCTAAAGGTAAACCCATCCACTACCTGCATTTGCTCCGGTAGCACCATCTCGGTACCTATGTTCATGTACCGCTTGAGCTCCCAGAAAGGATCACTGAAGCGCTTGACGGCGATGGTGGTGTCCAAGTCCGAAGCGAACGCGATGTGTGGCCATAGCTTTGGAAGAGCAGATGGCAGAGAGGGAAAGTCTACTCCAAACGCCACTTTTCCGATCGCATCCAATGTCGCCCTTTGAATCAAATCCTGTCATCGTCGACAAGGCAAACACATGTCAAGTCAGTTTGGTCTTGCCCAAAGTAATCATCCGCATCCGAGACTCTCTTTTCTAAATTGTTCCACGAGTGCGATATGTTTTGTGTCCTTATTATTTATGATTATACCTTTTCTTCGTCGACCTCAACCCAAAGGCTGTCGGATCTGCAGAGGTTGGCGATGAGCAGCTCAGACCCAGAACCTCCTTCAGACGACATAAGTGGTATGACTTACTTGGATGTCCAAGGTGGTGCCTTTTCTAACTACTTCAACCAGCAGCCGAGCGATGGTACTAAGTTTTCTTCTTCATTACAGCACCAGTGAGGTCGCAGACTGAAGGTTTGCAGAACTCCGAGGTCACCCAATTCTTCATAATCCATGACTCATGAAGCTCTTTATGGCCCAGCAATACTTCCATGCGCTTGAAGAAGCCTTTGCCCTGTCAATCGGAGCCCATTACGACAGCACATCAGAGACACAGCCCGTCACAAACTATGGTTTGCATGGAAGATGAGACGAGATACGAGGGAAAGACGGGACAGACCTTGCTCCGCAAGGTCTGTGCTGTCAGCCCTCGTTTCAGTTTCGAGCAAGTACTGGACATTGACTAGATCCACGGTGCAGTAGTAAACGCGGCCCTGGGCATGTGGATGTGAATGGTTTTGGCGAAATGGAAGAATCCCAAGAGCCAATCGTGTAGATTACAGTAATGCACCGAGATGTCCCAGACTCTGCCCAGAAAGGGCCAGTATCTTGGCCCCAGACGAGCGTTCTGCTTCAACCCGGAGTAGCAGACGCATAAGCACGATGAAACAACCCAGCTGCAAAATGTAGCTGCTGGAAATCGACTCGTAAGCCGTGGTCATCATGGACTGGTAGGTCTCAGATCTCTGTAATGTATTCTGATTCTTCTTCTCCGAGTACGACGGGTCCATTTGCTCCGCCATGTTCGGAGTCTCCGAATCTTCGTCAGCCTTTCGTGTTTTGAGAAGCAGTTTGCTCTTCGCCTTGCAGAATAACGAATTTGTGTGAGCGTGTCTAGAGCATGTACATGTTGCAGACGAGGGCTTAGTAAAGTGCCTTGCACCCCGCGATCTCCACAACCACGAAGGGATTGATTGTAAGCTTAACGACTGCTGGCCACATGCTGCCTTCAAGACGTTCTCTGATCCAACAACTTCACTGAGCATGCAAACGCTCTATGTCTCCGAATTGAGATTCAAAAGTGGTGAGGCCGTTGAATGGCATCTGCTTACAGGTTGGTCTTTACGGGCTAGTTGCATATATATTCAGAGCATAGTCGAAGGTTAGGAAGATTTGAAGATTTGAAGATTTGAAGTATTCAGAGCATAGTCGAAGCTTGGGAAGATTTGAAGATTTGAAATGTTCAGAGTGTGTTCGAAGCTTGTGAAGATTTGAAATGTTGAGATCGCTATCCGCGCCACGCTGCAGCGCAACGCTGTTTGCAGCGGAAGATGGACGATGCTTATTTCGTGCAACAGATGAGTATCCAATCCCATTATGCTGTCGCTGTTCAAGCTCTTTGCATGAATCTCTCTGGTCGAGAATACTAATCACAATCTTCTTGATTAATCCAACTTAAAACCGAAACTTCATATCGGAAGTATAGGGAGTATTGCAACTTCAAACTGGAAACACAGGATCTGGAGTCTGGAGTGAAATCGCTAGAGTATGAGAGCTTGTCTATAGTCTTTTGTAATGGTTTGTTCTACACCATGGTGAGAAGTTTCAGTGTAATGGCAAAAATCGCAAAATCTCAGAATAGTGTTTTCCTTCAGTATTTGGAGAAGCAGTTTGCTGTTCGCCGTGCGGAAAAACGAATTTGTGTGCGCGTGTCTAGAGCTCTCATACTATCAGCAATTTCAATCCAGAGTTTCCAGTTTGAAGTTGCAGTGTCACAGCGATTTTCGATGCACTTCGGTGAAAGCAGCCATGGAAGGACTGAGAGCCCACTTTTTACGGCCGTTCGGAAATGATCGGAGCCTGGCAGATCTTTTCGCTCACGTACATTTCGATTTTTACGGTACTAAAACTAAAGATAGCTCGTGCGTCTAAGCACAGAATCGGTCAACGTCCCATCATAATAATAGCTGCTAGTCATCTGTCACGAGATTATAGAAGGCGTTGGAACTTGCAGTGGCACTTGAATGCTTGCAACTTGGTGAGATCCGCTTTCTGTTGGTTCCCGGCTAACGAAAGCTTATCAAATCCTTAAGATGTCTGTTCGAAGCAATTTAATTTGCGAGGAATGCAAAGCAATTGGGGAAATTCATCTGGTATGAGGGAATATCAGATGAAAATCCTCGTACCCGGTGACAAAGTACAGGCTTTGGATAGCGCGGAAGAGTTTCACACAGCAATGTGGCAGGTCTATGGTTCATTTATCATCTTCATAATTTTTTGTTTCAATGTCTGCATGGGGCATATTTCATATGCTGAACAACATACTCCATTTACTTGACAGAATTTTTTCTCCCCGTCAAGAATTAGGCGGAACAAAACAGCCCACTATTCCAATGGAAAAGTGCAGGGAGGACCAAAGGCAGAGACCTTTTGACATGGTACCTCTGTAGAAAGTAAAGCTTCATTAATGTGTTATGATCCAAAACATTACTGACACAATTCGTTTGCATTTGAAGTGGAATTGTAAAATAATTTGGTATTGCAAGTAACTAAAAACGTAGCTCACAGCTACCAACACGTAAGAAAATACAGAAATGAAGACTACGCTCGAGCTGGAAGAGAAACGCATTTGTAAAGTACCAATCTCACTGGTGATGAAGCCTGTGATGCAAAAATGAATATACGGAGCCTTTCCAATGAGAGGCCACCAAATTTGTGTGTATGACGTCTTATGGACCCATCTTTGCTAAAGATTTATTTTGTGGATCGTGTTTTTTTTTTTGTGTGGATGGATACTTTAGAGGGCTCGTGCGTAAATTGACCGGCCCACTTCATCCTTGGGCACAATTTACAATAAATGTAAATTATGTCAAATAATGAAGATTATTAAATCACTAAACATGTTTGTTGTTCTATGTAAATCAATTTGCTTGATATTTATAAGGAATTTTTTATATCAGGTATCTCTAACCATCAAATATACAAGAGCAGTTTGATCACTTCATTACCTCGGAAGCACATTTGCAACCGTGACTTGGTGAAATTATGGACACGCATATTCCCTGCGTGTGCATTCCTATGCATCTGTTCAACCTTCTGCTAGCATGCAATCTCCAAGGGCATTCGCTAAGACTGACGTTGAAGAAATTCACCTTCCACCTGATTTCAACTGAAACTTGATTGATAACTTTGGAATTCACAATCCAACCTGTCTGTTCCTCACTGTCAATCCTTATAAGCTTCTTCGCGAAAAATATCTACAATAAATAATTTTGTTCGCAACAAAAAGACCTTCAACGTTCTCTGCCCTAGAAAGTGTCATCTCTTAATTGTCGACTTTCGTCTAGGTCTTGGAAATCAAAAGAATACAAAAGTTGGAGTTTAGGAAAATCCACATTCCTGATCATTTGTAGTGTTTGAGGATCGTTTTGAGGTCCAAAACTGTCTTCCAAAATTTCCAAAACCGTAGATCTTGAAGACGATGACATGAACAAGCTAATCATGGATTTCCCTCTACTTCAACGTTACATCGAAGCTGCAAAACAATTCCAGATTGAGTCTGGAACAAAGCCCAACATGAGCTTTGAAGATGTGAGCAAGGGAATGGAAATTCGGAATGCAGTGTGGAGAATACGTGTGGACTGCCATGCTATATCATGAGCCAGGGTCATGAACGGAATGGTAAGCGACATTTCCTGCTGCGATTGCTGGTATATCTACAATCGTCCCATCCCCGAATCAACCATATCGCCAAGCGTTGCATGACTAAGACGATTGTTTGCCACGGTGAAGATTGTGGGCACGTGAACCAACAAACCTACCATGTGTGAGATTTGTCCGGGAAATTCATTCTCAAAGGTAGATGAGATGATCATGCTAGAAACGAGGGAATGAATGGAATACCACAATACAAGTAGGTGTATGTGTCTTCCTTAAGTAATTAGTAACTACGATATTCTACTTTACACCAAGACATATACTGCTTAAGGTTTACGCTTGTAACATTCTCTGTTTATTTCGACCCGGGACAATACTTTTTCCATGCACTTGCTAATGGTCTATGGTTTGATTAAAACCATAGACCATGTTTTGCGGTTTTTTCATGTATGCAACTTATCAAGGTCAATATAAAATTTTAGAAACATGTACAATTTCATTGCATAGAGTGTTGCAGTATCAGCTTCCAACAATTTGATCGTAATCTTCAGTTTAAATGATACCAATGATTTGATTATTTTCTCTGTTGTGATATGGTTTCCGTTAGCATATGCTTTCGTGGTTCTAAGGTACTGATCGCATATTTGTGTAGAAGAAGCCATTGACAGGGGAGATTGCTAACGCAGAAAATAAGGCCAGATCTTGCAAAACAAATACCATTGATAAGACCAGTTTCGATCGGCTTTGAAGAGAGTTTGATCGCTTTAGTTTCTTATTTGTAAGCAGAAGCTAGCAATTGATGAGTTTGGCCATCCAGATAGCCAAATATGTCATGTATGTGAATCATAATATAGGGTGTAGTTCATATTTCATCTGCACATTTTTTTTAAAATATATACTGGGATTCATACATAGTAGGTATTCTCTGTGTGTTCAGATTAATCTCCAAAACGTTTAAATCATGGAACATGCACGATTGGGAGACAAGCAGATTTATGAAAAAATAACCTTGCATACGTTGCACCTTATGGTATCCTCTTAAGGTTGTGTGGAGGGGTCAGGAAGCATCTTGCATTTTTTGCAGGATTAAAACTGATGCTGAAATTCAGTAAAGTTCAACAGAGAATATACTTGTTCCACTGAACTCTGAATAGTAATACCATTAGATCTCGGGCAGAAACAAGCCAGCTAAACCAGAAATGTCAAATAATAATTTCAAGCGTGCTCATTGCAATCACAAGACTGATATTGATTGTAGTCCACTCAAGGTCACAGAATTTGGCCAAACGTTGGGAGTTCCACTGCATCTACATCACTCGAGTAGAACGAAAAGAATGTTTAACTAATTTTAAGTTTGCTGGAGAAGTTGTTTAGGACTTCTCCTAGACGTATGAACCGTAGTGTGTTATCTCCATTCAGTTTCCTAGATTAGCCTCCAGCCTGCTACCACTCCATTTACTCTCAAAAAGGCTATGAGAAGCAACACTCACATGAGACTTTGTTGAGAGTCTCAATTGGATAATTCTATCCACAATTGACTTAACATCAGCCCAAAGTTCAGCGAGATTAACAACCACACTATAGCTTCTCAACATTCCAACAGGTTTTATGATTCCATGTGGGTTCCAATCTTCACTGTGAGAAGATAATGAAATAAGTCATTGACAAGGCAAATTGATGGTCTTCAAGCTCTTCTTGCACTCAACCAAGCCACAGCAGCAGCAGCAGAAAACTCAACCATCAACCACAAATAGACTACCACTCATCCATCCACAAACACCACCACCTCCACCTCGCTAATAAACGTTTTGTCAAATTAATCAAGTAAACAATAACATGACATGTAAAGTTGATCGTGATAAAAAAAATTTGGGCTGAATAAAAAAAAAAAAAAGAAGGATTTTAGATCTAAAAAATGCTTAATGTAATACACTTAACTTAATGAGAAGAATTTACATGAAAATTATCTCAGTTGATTAATAACATGTCTCAGAGTGATAACAATCTCATTCATGGTTGTAATATGTATATATATATATATCTTGATTACAATATCTTCATTTGATAAAATGCTATTACATGATGAAACTTGGTTTTCATACCATTTCATTCTATGACTAATATTACAAATAGATGATAAAATTTCAACCAATGACGATTACGAATCAAAATAATACTTCGAACTTGAACAAAATATATTTTTGGGAATATATTTCTTCATTTTTGAGTGGCAGGTTTTGTAGTATACTCTTTTATTTGAATTATATATTTAGGAAAAAAAATTTGATGCAAATTTGAAATCATATGAAAGGATGAAATAAATTTATTATTATTTATGTTTAACAACATACCAGATGTACATAGGCAGTAATGCACAAGCTTGCTTTTCATCTATGAATTATTTTCAAAAAAATTTAATTGGATAAAACAACATGTTTGTTAAATGTTCTTACTTTAAAATATATCAAGAAATAAGAATGATTTTCACATGAATATGAAGCAGACAGAGGTCATTTTTTTTGTGATAATAAAACTAAAAATTCTTCCAGTACTACAAATTATGTGATTGATATAAATTGTTTCGTTTGGTTAAGTTTCAATCAATATTTTATAAGCACTTTCAATAAGTAATGATTTCTATTCTTGATCACAATATACTTCAAAAATATGGAAAGAAGACGTGCGTTGCATCTCAAAGATGGTAAGAGTTTCATAATTTGAAAGCTACTCATCCTGTTTGATTTCAGCATCCTTTTATTGACCCTTCACTGGTTGAATTAAAAAGGGTGAACACACTTATACTTAAACCAAACAATGTTGCAGAAGAACATCTAGGTGAGTAGCTTTAAAAAATTATGACACTTGATTTTCTGTCAAGCGAAAGGGGACTGGGCATTCGGAACCAGAAAATATCAAGTGTTGGATTATTGCCCATCTCTTCATTGGCTTTTTGAACTGATACAAGTAACCAGTGGGATATTGGATGACTTTGCGGAAGATTTCCTAACATTTTCACAAACGATTGATTCAATGTGCCTTTCTCAATATCGAAGGATGATTGGCCGATAGGGGTGATGGTGTACTTTTAGCTCTACATCATTCCTTTTTGTAAAAATGCTATTTCATAAAAGAAGTCGTCTGTGTTTGGCGTGTGGTGTGGTCGAGTTGCTGGCTGCTCGTCCTCGACTAATGAGCATACCTTAGCAGTTGCGTTTACCTCAGGTTGGCACATAGAATCTACTAGTATTTATTAAACTTCTCTGTATACTCTGTCATTCCATCTGCTTGTAAAAGAATGTATTCCGGCGCTTAGTTACTTTCCTCTTTCGGATACAGCCTTGGGTCTGCACCCGTACCAGTGAAGCCAATGGAGGTCTGTGAACTTGTGGCCTCTGATAAGAGGACACAAGTTCGTGCTCGACAGACCTTCAAGAAATATGTTCCAAACTGCATCCAGGCCGCTTAGACAAGGGTAGGAGGGCGCGGAACGAAGGGCTGAATGAAATGATGAACTTAATGGTATCATATGACCATGCACATCGCAATCGACCTCAGATGAGAAGCCTGAATCAAATGCTTGTATATACCCATAACTCGTGGGTGACTCAGAGACTCTGGAATGTGTATCTATGTCGCAGTACTAATCTGACCAATTTCTGAAATGCGTACCTTAACATCCTAGAACGCACTCAGAGTACATCAGCTAGTGTCTCTCGGAAGCTGCCCTTTAGAGCCCTCAGTTGGCCACGGCAATTTCCGGCTTCTCGGGATCCGGCTGACACGTCTTTTGAGGATTCAAACCAAAGGCAGCAGGATGAACAAAAAGTTGAGTGCTCAAAGCAGAGGGCTGGAATCCTGCGCTGTAGCGTGTGGAAGTGAACCTAACTTGTGGCAGCTGTTGCATTCCGGAGGCAATTGGAACAAGTTTGTAAGAAAGTGAGTTCGTGGATTTCGGGAGTACAGAGAACGTATCACTGTGAGCCCCGGCAAATATGAAACTTTGAGTATCATACACTGAGAAGGATACTTCTTGGAGGCTGGTCGTCATGTTCTGTATGCTCATGGAACACACGAAAGGTTCACCCAAAAGGGCATGAGGTGGGCACTTGAATGTGACAACCAGGGGAGGAGATTCAACAACCACCGGAGCGAGCAAGAAGCTCCTGCACACGGGAGTGCCAGGATTCGGTGCAGCTTGGGATGAGTCACCAGTGTCATGGGACTGTTCTCTACGCCAAAGGATCTCAATTTTTCCAACGTAAGGAGCTAAGGAAGGAACCAACGGACGGACATAAAACAGCTGTTCATGGACTTCTCCGGGTGAGAGAAGTGTACCTCCAGAATCGCCACCAGATCCTGACTTCCTGACCGACCACGATTCGACAGTCTCGAGCGCTAAATTAATGGAACGTAGATTCACAGCGAGGGTAGAGGAATTCTTCGTTGTGACAACGAGTATACTAGCTTCGTCCAGGGGCAGGGTTATGACTGGTCGAGGCTGGTCAGCAGCAAGAGAACCTGGTAGCAAGGCATCCGTTCTAAAGCGAGAGAAGTACTGGCAGGATACATCCAGTGCTTCCTCACACCGCAGATGGAGAATTTTCTGCACCCGACGACGTGAAGCTGGGGTACCTTCTTCCTCGATCGATAGGCTCTCTTTCATTTGATAATATAGAAGAGCCATCAAGTTCACATCCTTGGGCTCAGCCCATCTCAAGTACACCGTTGTATTCCACTTCTCATCTGGTCCCAGGAAAGGTATTTGTACATGACCAGAAAACTCGATGTACGCCTCATCGCCTTGTGCACCGGCACAGAGGAGTTCTGGAGGTGAAGGACCTGACATGGCAGTGATAAGGGGTAATTTATCGCCTACTTTCGCAGCAGGTGAGAGGTCTGAGGAACCAAGATACACATCCATTTCTCCACGCTCCAAAGCATGGCCCCTTGACGTTACAACTAATTGCACAGGAAAGGCTTCGCCAACCAACCCCGGACCTGAGGCTAATAACTCAACTTGCACGAGGGGTTCCGCTTCTTCCACGAGCAGTGTTTTCTTCCCAAAGTAAGCGAGGTTGTTCGGCTTGACAGGTGAAGTGTCCAGTACGGGCTCATAGTTCCATAGAAGATTTCCATCACGGAAAGCCGGGCCGTCAACTTGGCATTTCGCTGTGGCATGAGGTCCAAATCGGGCCACCACGGCTAAGCAATCAAGCTTTCCGCTGAAATCTGCACAAAACCATTGAGGTCAGATTCCCGTGTAAACATACGGGTATCAAACATGATTTCAAGAGTGGGAGAAGCCACCAAAAACTTACGAGGAATTATATCGACTATTAATCTCTTCCACTTGTTCGGCTCCAACTCCAGGTCGCAGTGGTATTTCACAGGCAAGCTCTCTGTAGATGCCGCTTGTTCTTCCTCGAGAGCAATTTTGCTGTTTTTAACAACAAAGCTGCACTCCTGCTGATTGAAGTGCACTTCGAGCTCCAAAAGCACCACGCTCAACGGTAAATGCGTGAGAAGAGACAATGTCATATATGTCTGCACTCCTGGTTTCACAATTTCCTCGTGGAAAACGACAGAAGCTGATAAGAATATCCTCAGTGGGCTCAAAAGATCAACGTCAAGGGCCACTGGCTGCTGAGACGTCACAGCCATTCCATTTTCATCCTCTCGAGCTGGCAACACCGATGTCGTTCCCTGCATCAAACCGATAACCTCTTTGTGAACCTGCTCTCTCAAAAACTGGCTCAACGGACCAGCTGGACCTACTTCTGGGCCAGAGACCACAAGGTGTTGCTCATCTTGACCATACGTTGCAGGAACAGGGAGCGATGCAAGCTCTAAGGCATATTCAACGTATGCTTGCAGCTGTCCCAGTTGTCGGGCACATTCTCTTAAGTATCCAAGGGTTGCACCTAAAACTGCAACCCATGCTTCTGTTCTGTACATTCCTGCAACACTATCAAATAGACCCTTTGCCTTAACATAATCCCGAGAATTATAGTATTCTCGTCCTATTTCACTACCAAGCTCATTGATCATTCGAACTGCTTGTATCTGCTTGAAATGATGCTGCGCCCTCCGTAGAAGACGTATTGTTTCGTTCGAGTGAGCAAAGACCTTCTCCACAGAAATGACATGCCTCATAAACTCTGCTTCTGTTGGCCTGCACCGCGGACAAAAGTCATATTACCAGACTTCTTCATTCATCGAAACCAGCAAACAAAAGTAATCTAGTATTTGCCAATTGTGAACTAATTTTGTGGCGTGTTTAGAGTGACTTCTGGATACCCCAGGTCTCAGAAGTACAAACCTCTGCACATCAAAGGTGTTGCCACGTTTTAATAAGCGAGATGCTTGTCCAATGAAAAGCGGTGGACCGATGTCTTCTGGAGGTCCAGCCAGATAGTCAACACCGCCTTCTTCTTCAAACGCTTGGATAGTCGCAAAGGCTGACTCAAAGAATCGTCTCCTCAAGACCATGTAGGATGCTGCTACCTGAGGTACATGTTCAGCAGAGTTTAGCGCATCGAGTTTGACATCACGTGATCAGGATCTTCAAAATAATGACTATCTCGTTCCCACCAGCCGGCCGATGGAAATATACTGTGACCAAACGGTTCATGCCTTCAAGCAGAGGCAAAAGTTTACAGAACGAGATAGTCGATAATCTGACTGACAATCACGAGCTGTTACAAAGGAAAACAAGCTCATATTTCAGCCAACATCACCTAAATCGGAAGCAGTTCCTAACAAGATCACTTATCCAATCACTTTAATATGCGACTCCTCTGCCTGGTCGAACCAAATGTTGCCTGCAGGGGAAGCGAAGATGAGCGAGGCAACAAAGATATCATATCCAACTAGTCCGCCATAGAAGCACTGCACGAAGTTGTTTCCAGGATTTACCTGAAGATAGTAGCCGGGTTGTAGCTCACGAACTGTTACTGGGGTTCCTGTTGACTGTCCGGAGGCTGGTGGTAGAGAGGCAGTAGCCAAACTGTTATCAAGCAGTTCCGCGAACACTTGAAACTGCTTACATACCCAGGCCCAGTGCAAAAAAGCACCTTCTGGAGGACCAATTAAGCACTTGTAACGGACGATGTGCTGCTTGAACCACTTGACAGCTTCACCTTCCTTGCCGCTGTGGAGGAGTAAAGTTGAAATTTTGAAATGAAGGTGCTCGGCGACGGCTTTGAACTCCACAGTTCTTTGGATTGGTAGGAGCTCCATGTGGGCTTTGATGACCTGATACATCAGCACATGAACTTGGATGAAACGCACCAGTATGCTGGCAAAGCGAAGAAACCCGACCCCGAACAGGGCTAGGACAAAATGTGGAGAAAGGAAGGTTTATTTGTACATCTCGGCAGCTTGAACCAGTCTAAATTTGAAACACTTTCGTCATTCATACGTACAATATTTTTTCTGCAGCACACGAGGTTCCGGAACTGAATTGAACCCACCATTGACATAGCACACTCAACGTTTTCTAAGCTGTTATTAGCAACCAGGTAGCATATGCGCCAAGGAAGATGATGAGTTCCAGCTGCTAGTTTCTGCTAGCTGATTATCCACAATGTCTGCGAACAACAGATAAAAAATATCTGGCCTCTTTTTACAACACAAACTACAGAGAGTCAACCTTGGATAATGAGAAGAAGCACCTCCTGCAGGAGAGAGTAGGCTATTTCATAGAATTTGAGAGCTTTCACCCACTTTCTCCGGAATTCTGCATAGACCGCAACCTGTTCGACAAATATCAACCAATGTTACCATTCACAAGTTTATGTAATGAACTTTATGAGCCACTAATCAAAGAGATCAAGACCCGAGATTGCAACGGCTACGGAGATACTTTTTCAGGCTCAGATGTACCTTAAAACTATAACGGACACTCAACTCTAAAGAGCTATAGGACTTCCTCTCGATCCGATTTTGAATTCTGCGACCTTCCTCCTTGTAATATTGACCGGCTAATTCACCCATTAAACTCCCGAACCTGCCAAGGAGTTTCGAAGGTAGACATGGGTAAGAAGCTGGAAGAAAGTGACGAGTACTCTTGCTCCTAGACTGTCAGAAACGATTTTGACCAGGGGTAAGCAATCCAACACGAGCATCTATCTTGCACCAACCTTAGCAGCGAGCGTTTAAGCTCGCCTGGATCATGAGAAATGAAAACGAAACAGGTCCTTGAGTCTAATTCTGCACGCTTTCTCAGAACTGTCATCCTGGTTTCATTCATCTCTCCTGCATATTTCGGACAGAAACGTCCACGTTGGAGTAAGTGAGCAAGAAATTCTCGCTCATCTCGTACATGCACTGATATAAAATCTCCAGTTTCTTGAAAATGCAAGGTGCACTGTGTTACTTTGCTCTTACGTGATATGTTTTTGACTGGTGTAGTATCGCCAAGTACTATAGTATTGAAGGTTCAAAAGCATATTCAAATCAATGTATTTATATAGTGCAAGTGGTCACAAACTGGCACATGGTTATGCACGCGTTTTCTCCTTATGAAGCTACACAGAATTAGACAGACGGAATTACCTCTGAGTGACGGCTGGACAACGGCTATAACAAGCTTCGTATTCCTTCCACGGATAACACTCCTGCTCGTGCCAATGCCCCACATCCAACAGATTTCACAGTCAAAAATTAGTACCTTCGGAACTGTAAACAATTTCGGTTAAATGAAGCTCTTCCCCAGGATCATCGACACATCAATTCACTAAGGATGATGTGCTCGATACCTGCTACACAGAAGCACGCAGCGGTGCATGATTATCTACAGATTGCAGGGCAAATTTGGGCAGGTCCGCGCCTTCTTCTGTGACTGTAGGCATCGGCTAATTACCGTACACGCATGCAAAGGAAGGAATTGTGTTGTGGCAAAAGCCATCGTGACAAAGCAGGAGATAGCCAGCGGACTACATCATATTTGTGGGAAGAAAAACGAAGAAAGGAAATCTTGTAGACTAGAGGGAGGAGAAGATGGAAAATGGTTTGATTACTCACTTGACGGAGTCAATATGGGAGCAGATTTGAAGCCACTGTGAATGGTCTCCATAGACCTGATCGCAGGCCAAGAGGATAGCCAGTACAGCAGCAGACCTTGTGCGGTGTTTGGCAAGCCAATCTGCTTTGAGAATACCTACTGGAGGGGGCATCCTTGCGTCTGGTGCCTTTCTCTCCTTGCCTCCTATGATCGAAATTCTAGAAAAATCCGGTATTGCCAATGTGTTCAGAGGTGGTTCTTCCTTCTGCAGAGACATGGAGACTGCGGAATGCAATTCTGGCATTCCAACCAACGCAACCAAGGCCATTGGTGGTGTGCGAAGCTCCTCCGGGTACAGATCCATCTTTAGTTGCCAAACTCTCTCCGTGTGGATTCCTTTTGGAGAGGGAAAGTGGTTGATCCGGCCTAGCCTACTCGAGAATTATCTACCATCTGCACAGCTTCCCACCCAATGCCGCCGCCATCACCAGCACCAGGTACTTCTGCCTCCAGATCCTGCTTCAAGCACCAGAATATCATGCGTGACGCACTGGAAGTCGATCTTTCAAGATCTTCAGGCTGCTCCAATTCAGCTCCAATTCAGATCCAATCCTGTTCGGAAACGGTGACCGTGTGCTGATATCGTCGAGTGGATCACAAAAGTTCGTGAGCTTGGAGTAAGCTTTTGCGTTGAAGGTCGACTGAGCGATCCATCATCTCTCTTCTCGCGAGAATAATGTATTTTGGCTTTTGGCTTTTCAGCTGGTAGGGTCCGGAGGCCGAAGAAGACTATGCTGCTCTGTCCCCACCTTTCAGCGCTCCTCTGGAAGCGCAGGATTCACTAACAGGAACATTCGTGATGGCTGGGCAAAGTAGGAGATATTGTCAGACCGAGCGAAGTAGCCAAGTGTATTATTCGCAGCGTGGCGTCTGCGGCACAGGGCACAGAGTTCCGAAGCGTCGTGCGGGGCTGGTGAATGGTCCCACCACCATCGACGAGAGGTTTGTACCAGTCCGTCAAACTTGTCAGTGGGAGGTTGAGAAGTTTACTTTAGTCGTTTCGTCGAATACATTTCCCATAGACCGGAAGTACGCGACAGTTTGCTCCGAACTTAAACGCCATAGACGCGTGGAGATGAAGAGATCCATATTCAAGCACCTGAAACGACAGCATCGAAGAACTTGCCCACCTAACTGTCGATTTCTATATCGCACATGATGGACATACTGTATCCAGAACACAAGCAGTTGTGAGGATCAGCAGACTAAACCTGAAATCTAAAACTTGTCAGGAATATGAGCGTTCGATGCTTCATCCCTGACAACCATTGTACCAGGAATTAAGCCAATACCTAAGGAACTTCAACCAAGGTACACAGCATTTACCCAAAAGACACCGCTTGAGAAGCCAGAGTTGAAGCCAGTGACACCTGATTTCACCAGATAACTAGATAACTCTGATCTACCCCATCTGTGTTTGGATCTACTGTGACTCCCATGCAGTGCTTGCAGAGAACCATAGTCTCCTGCGAATATTGTGTCCATAGTCAAGCTTAAGAACACTTTGTGGCATATTCTAATCCACAGTCGTTGTCTTGCAGGTGACTCCTCACATGTTTTCTGACTTGCATTATCTTCTCGTCGCTTTCTGCCGATACCAAATACACCATGTATTACAGCAAGTACTGAAGATGATGGTTGACCTGAACCTGTCCATTGTCGTCTCCCCCATCTAAGAGTTTCATTTACATGAGAAAAGAATCACTCGAAAATATGGTAAATGAAGAGATCCCGAGAAGAAGGTGTGATCCTTGTAATATAACCGTGCTGCTGAGCTTCAAACGGCTGAGTCGAACCGTCCAAATAATATGACTCGGAATGGCTGGAAATGACTCGGTGGGCGTGTGGAATTATATGGGAATATGTCCACAGGAATCTGGGTTTGCTTCCCTTTGCTAGCGGCCGGCAATTAAAGTACTGGCGGCAATGCGCATTGTCTGCTGATTGTCGATTTCTAAGATTCATCAGGCAAGTGTAATTCTGATTCGCAACTATGTGCATTAGGTTGCTTTCGAGAAGATTCGAGCTCCTTCGTTGCCCACTCTTTGTCGACGACATCTTCAATCGAAGACCCTGATAAGTTCTTCTTTTCTCACTGTAAGAAATCAGACGTGTATGGGATACATCCTTCCAACAAGTGAACTGAGTGCATCATGAACTTAAATTAGATCCGGTCGATCACAGCTCATGAGTGGGAGAGATGTGCCATTGCAATATCCTGACAGCCTCTCTATAGTCGTAGACCAATCTCTGCAGTCTCAAAGCGATTGCTGTTTTGTTCCTGTTTCGGAATAGAGGTTAGAGTTCTTTATCATTAAAGAAGAGCTGTCCATGAAGGTTTGACGAATTGCACACAGGAGATGTCTGAACTACCTTATCTGCACTGCGACTTTATGCATCATCTGTCCACTTTCAGATTCGAACATTTTCTCAAGTCTTTCTTTCTTTGCCAAGATATGGCAGAATCCAGGTACTCGAAAAGCTCGAGAGTTGTATTATGCAACGATCCAGGCTACTGTTAGAATATCCTATATCAACGAGGCTTTTGCAAAGGTCCTGAACACTTCCGAGTGTAATTGGAATTCACTACCAAGTCGATCCGTTTTACAGTACATAGCGGGAACAATCTCAAGAAATTATGATTATTCGTTTGTGAATATTGTCGTCAGAAATGATGTGCACTTGAAATCATTTCAGAATCAGAGAAGCGCTTGCACATGAGAATGTGAACACAGATTGCTTCTTTATAACGACATGAGCTGGTCTGATCAGTCAAAATCTATCCGCTGGTGACGTCTGAACCTCCACTTTGTTCGCTGTATTTCTGCCAAGGCTTTCCTCCACAAGCCTTGTGAATTCAAGCTGAATCTGATCAACTTTCAAACATACACATTTTGTAATCATGGTTTCTTGTAAACTCAAAATGAAGATTGAATAACTACAAATGATCAACAGTCGGCGTCATCAGAAACCACTCAAATCAAAGTTCATACACTACGTAGCTACTTATGGAATTTCGTATATTATCGAAGTGGAGTGTAGATTTCAAATTTCAGTTCATGCAAACTACAATGTTACAGATTGGTTGAATGATGAATTTGTGAAGCAGAGTGCGAAACCAAATGATGAACATAAAAATAATTTTGATTTTATCTTCCTTTTGCTTACGGTCTCGCCAAACTGTCCGATAGACACACTATATTGTAACTCGCAAGTATGGCGCATGCAGCATGCGCCATAAAAATTCCCAAATAGATTTTTTTTTCAGGATTAATCGGGTTTAATACAATAAAATCGGATGCTTCTAAAACCAAGGTTATTGACACGTGGATGTTGATATATAGTAGATACCAACGCCGGGGATTTATTAATATTGATGATACCTGATTAAAACTGAATAATACTCGGGTTTTTGTGGACTGAGAGGTTATAGGGTTTTACAATAAAACCCGATTGTAAAACCCGCGCAGTGCCACCCCTGGTAAGTACTAGGCTTTGAGCTGGCTCTGGCAAGTAATGTGCCTGTTGAACAAATGTCAGACCGATATTCAGTAGCAGCCAAATTGAGGGAATGACGGTGATTGCAGTTCTGCCCGGATGCGAAGCGGTGATGGCTGAATGAACGAGATAATCCCCAAATTCTTGGAATAGATATCATTGAAGCCTGCGAGGAGTCTCATGCAAAACAGAATAAAGCCAAACCACCACATTTTCCAATCGTAGGCGTTCCCATATCCTTCTTGTACAGGACTTTGAGAAGTGCTCGCATTTCACGGTGACCTCACAGGGAGTAAAGCAAAATCATATGATGACTTAGTTGTGGCTGTTTTGGGATGAAATCGAGTATGATATGGATCAGCTAAACATATAAACGAAGCTCAGTCTGGACGAGGATGACAATTTTGACGTTGCTTGCAGGGCGTCAGGAGAAAAGAAAGACATGGAGGAGTCGGATGAATTCTTAGAGAAGGCCACCTCGCAGACCCAGTGAACGTGAGCCAAAGCATAGGGGAGCTTACTTATAACAATGTCACTTATGAACTCTGTTCGGCACAAGCTTCTACGACCAGGGACGGTAGATTTCTCCACATGAATTCAGCCGCTCGGATTCGCAGACTTCTTCCCCACTTGGGCAAAGTGGACAGCAGCAGTATCGACCGACGCTCGAGGTCTCTCCGATCAAGGACCGAAGAGATTGCTATTTATTCGTACGTACTTTTCGATGCCCTCTATCTCAGCCTCAACTTGCCAGACATCTGGGCTTGTGCTCCAACAATTTGGCCAGCATTGATGGTAAAAAGGGTCGCAGTCGCTATCTCGATATGCTCGTACCGAAGATCCGTTCGCATGGCTTCGCAGGACATTCTTCACGAGGAACCCAGAAGTCTGGCAGAGGGATCGATCGGAGCTCGACTGTGCAGAGGTGAACGAGAGTTTGGTCCAAGAAACGGACCTGGAGAACTTGCCGCATCTGCGGGCAGGGATCGAAGGGACTGCGAGACTGCAGCCTCGGAAGCCTATCAAAGCGGGGACCGCAAAGTCGACCACAACGCTTTGCGCTTCGAGTTCCTTCCGTTCGCAGGTTTTCACAGGTTCGCGAGTTGGGCGGGCTTGGCCATCCGTCGAATTGATCGTCGGAAATTCCAATTCCGAATTGGCATGAATGCAAGCGAGGATTTCGCCAGCACACGGATATCGGTTGTCACGCTGGATGTTTCCATTTCGTTCTCCGTGCATGGCAGCACGCTGAGATTTAACCTTTGTAGTTCGAGCAAGTCTCTCCCAACCCATTGGTGCTAGGTTTACCGAAGATCCGGATAATCCTCGAGGAATTGCCGCCGATTTCGGAGCATGATGCGAGCTCGAAAGCTGGGCGATCTCGATTGTGCCAACCCTTTGACGAATGCCTAGCATTCCGACATCAGAGCTCAGGCGTAGCTCATCTATACGCTGGACTCGCTGGCCAATACAATCAAAGCACCAAGCTTTGATTGGGATCCCATGAGAAGCGGCAAAAATCTGCGGCCGAGTCTACAAAGATTTACACATCGAATCTTGTCTTTCGGAACGGAAAACTCTCGAGTCTTCGGTGATGAGGGCTTGGAGCAATTCCAGCCCGCGCTGCCTTCATGCTCATCGTAACTCCCTGGGAGTCAGATCATTCGGAGTTTGGTTCCTAGGATTTAGGTTGTGTTCGGTCGAAATGGCTCGTTCCGTTCGAATTCGTGTCGCGGCGAAAATCGGACAGTAATTGAAATTGAATGAGCGATAAATGTTGAACGAGGACGAAACAAGATATGGGAAAGAGGAATTGGCTGGTATTCACGCACGCCGCCAACCATCGCGACCATGTGCTTGCCGGAGAGGCCATAGATCACATGCAGGATAATCTGGATGCCGATACGAACGTGTTCTCGATCTACTTTGGTCCGACGCTAAAATCCGTGGCGACCCTGACACACATCCGGCACGACGAAAGATTACTCATCGCAGCGCTGCCGAACGAATCGGTCGACACAGCTCTCGCGAACACGTGCGAGTTCACCAAAACCCTGCACAAACTTCTGTGGGAGTTGAGCGAGCGCATCGAGGGCGTGTGCGTCTGGAGCCACGGCTCGGGAGGAAGCGGAATCGGGGTCTGGAAGCGATGGAAGATGCCATTCATGTCGTGCGTCGATCTGGTCCGAACCGTCATTCGACCCTTCAAACCGCGCATCGTTTGCTTCGATGCCTGTTACCAAGGGAGCATGTCCTGCCTGTACGAGCTGGTGGGCGCGACTGACGTCGTGGTCGCCTCGCCGGGATTCCATCCCTACTGCTCGCTGCTGTGGACCGCAGCGTTCGGGGAGTTGTCCAAGGTCGGCCACAGGAAGCGCGACTTCGAGAAGTACGCGCACGAGATCGCCTGTCAATGGCACGCCATGACGGCCGTCTACTACAAGTGCCTGCTGGTGTTCGACATGGCCGTGATTCCGGACGTGGCTGCTGCCATCAAGCAGCACTGGGATGAGCTTGTGTTCGACGACAGGTCGCAGATCGACCAGGAGGATCCCAACCTCCACGACGTTAGCATTGCCTTCAGAAACAATCCTTCCATCCAGAATTTGATCGAGAAGAGCATTTCGCAGTACACGCGCCATTGCCTCAAATGCCGAGGCACCTGCACTCGCTGGGTCAATGGGCCCAGCATGGAAGCCCGCTTGTTGAGGAAATGGCAGGCGCCTTACACTCAGACGGCCTGGTATCGCCACATCCGCGGCAAACCAGGATTCCACGACGCCAGGCTCATTTCTTCCCATCGCCAGAGTAGGGCATCCTCCAAACGCGATGAAGACCACGCTCACCGACAATTCGCTCGACCTAACTGTCTCGTCGATGGATACACCTCTCTGATCCGCCGACTTTCTCGGTCCTGATCGCAGTTTGTACATTACTAGCTCCAGACAAGGCTTTCGTTTCAGTATCGGCATTGCGTTCCTTCGAGGCTCGGAGCGACTCGAGACTTGTGGCCATGGTGAACCAGAACCAAGTCCAGATTCGACGAGGAACGCATGGCCGCTAAGCTTGATCAGAGATCAGACGAGATCGTTTGGAGGAAGTTTTGATCCGAGCTCAAGAGCAACCGAGGCTTGCTTCTGGACACGGTAATGTACTTCTTTTCAACTCTTCTGAAAAGTGAGATGTTACATTGACCAGATTCGAGATTCCTGGAATCCAGCGCATCTAAACTAAACTCTTTTTGGCACTATTTTCATTTCTTCAGTATATTTCGGCCTGGAGCTTTAGATTCTCTAATCTTACCGGACATATTGCACATGAGAATATTCCGGGCGGATAATACTTCCGATCTCATCTGCACCGTCTCGAAGTAGTCACAAGCCAGTAGTCAACAAACAAATTAACAATCTAACAAAAAGTAGCCAACAAATTGAAAGCGGTGTTTCGTTACTTCCATGTGATCCTTGCACCTGAAACAAGTCGCTCATGTAAATGTTGTACAACACGATTCACTTTTTTGTCGACCAGGTAAAGTGAGTGTATATCGTGCCTGTAATAACTCACTTTTTTGTCGACCAGGTAAAGTGAGTGTATATCGTGCCTGTAATAATTCAGAATACTTCATAACTCGATCCCGTTTGGTAATCCCTAAACGAACGAGGTTATTCAACGGGATCTCCTCCTACCGCAAGAAGCAGAATTTTGAGAGTTTAAGGTTCTCATCACTTTATCTATTTGATCAGAACCTTCAACTGTCAAAATCCTGCCTCTTGGGGTCGGAGGAGATCCCGTTAAGTAAGCTCGTTCATTTACGGATTACCAAACGGGCTACTGTGTACTAAAATGTATTTCGGACAAGAGGAGCACGAACCTGAAGAGTCACTCTGAGCGCACATTGTCATCGGAGAGGGCGCCTTTGTTTTAGCAGTATAGCAGTTTTAGTATAATTGTCAACTTCCACCGTCACAACTCATCTTCCTTCTCACGTTCTCACTTATTTTCGACATTAAGCAAGTTTCGAAAGAAAACATGCTTTCCCCATCTTCACCCCATGAATCTCTCGTTCTCACTGTATGCTCCAAGAGACTTATCCATGTGTATGGACAAGTCTCATGGAGAATTGTTTTATCCTATCACGAAGTGACCCTGTAACAACTAATCTAGGGGCACCTCTCGTTCCGTATGTTTGACAGTTTTTCCTATATAGTTATGATATTGTAGGTGCAACAGAACAAATTTGTGTTTGTGATGCTATTCGAACCTAATCCATTTTTTCCATTCGGTTTGAACCAAGTAAGACCTGATGGGGTCTTCCGATCCTCTTTATCTCTATTACTTGGTTCCGAGTCTTACTAGGCAGTCATGACCAGAGAGAGAGAATGGAGAGAGTGTCTCTAGAGGAGTTAGTTCGTTTAGTTTCCAAACCGAGAAGTCGTTAGGACTAGTAGATGTAGACTTAATCTATAGAAATGGATGTAGTGCTCTTAGAAGGTACTTTTCAAAAGTGAGATTTGGAGGCATCACCTAGTGAAGTAACCTGATTTGGTTACAATCAACATCTTTGTTTCATGGTTCTGTGATGAGTCGAATGACATTTTGTGAGTTTCGAGTGTAGAAACAATTGGTGTGACGTATTTATATTAAAATTTAGACTTTGCATAGGATATGTAGGTCATATATGTCATTGTAAGATTTTTAAGCTCACAATTAGCCCAGACTTTAAAGTGCAAATAACACAAGTACAACATGAGTTTTAGGGAGGTTTATGAACTAACAATGCTGTTTGACTTATTTTCTGTCATAAGGAGTTAAACCAGATGAAGATGGTTCCTCCAGTTCACTATTGAAACTAACAATATATTTTCGTATTGGTCTTGGTGCGTTCATCTGAAGCTCTCAGCGTCATGCTACCCTCTTCATGCTCATCTTTCATCGCAACCAGAACACTTTTTAAAAGGTCGTTATTGTCGTTAGATGCTATGTATTATATTTGTCATGACTCCCATTTTAGGCATCTTGTCAACGCGGCAATATTCACTAGTACAGCAGAAGAATTAATCTTGTTCGAGATTCACACCAGTTCCACTATTCAGCCTACTCTGAGAGATGACGAAGGTCGTATGCGAGCGAACTTCGAAGGCGGAGACGACATTAGATAGCACATTTAGACACAGAAGCATCGCGATGCATCACAATGTTCATCGCTGCCTTTGGCAGATGGACAAAGGAAACTCTACAACTTCAGGATACAACTTCCAACTAGAGATGAGGCATAAAGAAAGCACACTTCAGTCTAACATTTGGAGTTTCAGTCTTGTGTATGTCTTATTCAAGACCTGGGAAATTTTCTAGACTATTCAATAAATTTCAGATCAAGCTCTTCGACTTCCCTGTCATTTGATCCAGAGTCAGCAGTACGTCTGCTTGTGACAGAGAGCATTCACGTTCATTGGACTTCGCGAAATCGAGCATCTATGCACATGTCTCTCCCTTCAGAATGTTGCTTTTTGGTGTTCTACACGCAAGTGTGCCATACCCGTGACCCTTATATTCTTCTATCACTAGATTCCATATTATCACTTTTTGAGCAAATCTTACTGGATATACTGATTTGTAGGAGTTGTCCTAGATCATGGAGTGCGCCGCCTACAATCATGGGAGCGCAAATATGTTATAGCGGATAAAATTATTCCAACACGTCAATTCACTTAAGATTACTAAACTATCTATTAACACAGGAATTTGAGAAAGCATGTCTTCAATTTGTCGATTTTTCTCGCAAGGCTGGACATTTGGCAAAATAATTCATTGCCTTTTGAGTATACGACGCCTATGCATATCTCTATATATGAATTGCAGGCGTGAGTTCACATTAGGACTGTAGAATGCAGTCTTTGATAGCGCCCGTTTATCATGACATTTTGTTATAGCTACAAAAGTATGGTTGAAAGGATTCTACTCACCCATAAAGACCATCATCGTCTTCAAATATTTGCAAATCGAAGGTAATACTAAACTGATCTCTTTGAGTATCATGTTGTGCTTAGGCTGATTCTCTGTGGGCAGAAAACCATCCTTAATTGGAATCTGAATTGCCATGCATGCAGGGTATCGTGGACTCTTATCAAGTTAGAATCTCTTAGTTTCAAGGCATGCAACGTCATTCAGTTGTCTCCAAGTTTTCAATCGCTTTGATAACTAGTCAGCATGAGTATACGAAGAAGTAGGGGGAACGCAAGTTCAGAACTTTGTGGTGACCATTTGTAGCATCGAGATACATCAGTCTGAGAGTAGCATGAATGGGGGCAAGTGTGTACGAAGGCCACTGCTACCGTAAGAAGAATCAAAAGAACGAAACCCACGAGGGTCTAGAACGTCAGTCGCATCTAGAATATCAGTTTGCACGTGACCAGAATCATCACGGAGAGACATCCAATCGAAATGCAATCTAAAGACTGACAATAAATTCACGAGCAGACACTACTTCAGGCAAGCCGATCTCCTTCCACCTGTGTATCATAGTTGACACCAGAGAAGGTAATCTATTTGCTCTCTGTTCCAGACGTCCCAAGCGCAATGCAAGACCCGACGAAGTGGGGCTGGAGAAGCATGAGTGAAACACACATCGTACTTCTGCTCCTCTTGGCATGCAGCATTCTGTTGATGCAGAAAGCTACGGCTGCAGATCCAGATCCACTCGTGGACTTCCCACCGAATGCCAGCACACCCGTCTTCAGGGACATATTTTCACTAGGAGTTGTAGGCAAAGGATCTGGAGGTGTGAAAGCTGGTCTTAACGTGACGATCTTTCCTGGCCTGAAGTTAGTACATTCTTCACTCTTTTCCGTGTGCTTTACGGTTATGTCTTTCACATGTATTCCTTGGATAGTTGGATGTAGTTTCTGATGTGGAAACGGTGCAGGTCACAAGGCATAACAGTTATCCAGTTTAGAATGCTCCCTTGTGGAGAGAACTTACCTCACACTCATCCCCGAGCTACAGAACTCCTGTCTATGATTAGTGGCGGTCCTCTTCAGGCAGGATTTGTTGACACGAAAGGTGAGCACCTGCAATTCCAAACTCTTCTACCAGATCACAAATCAGCTCCAATGGCACATGAAGCACTTCATATTGATTCACATATGCAAATAGACGACCTCTCGAAGATAATCATCTCGCATACTTTCTAGCTTGTAACGATTTACACGTCGTCGTGATACAGGAGTCTCCAAGATTTACATAGTCTATCCAGGAGATCTTATTATCTTCCCTCGCGGGTTGTTGCATTTTGAGCTGAACGTGGGAAACGAAACAGCCTTCTTTCTCTCATCATTTAATAGCGAGAATCCTGGCATCCAGGTCAGATTTCCTCTCCAATATTTGATTCTTCAGGCTTTGCTTTACATTACTGAACTCTTCAGATCCTTTTACTACTTTGCACTAGACTGGCTCGTGAGATAGTGTGAACCGATGTGATGTTGCGATTGTGAGGCTGCTCACATTATGTAATGCATCTCCGCATTGTACAGGACTCTGCAGGAGGCCTGTTGCAACTACCAGAGCGAGCAGCCGCTATAGCTTTGAACCAAGACTTGGAAACCATCAGGTCCTTGAAGTCTCAGAGAAAATACAACGACCCGTCGACTCTTGTGGCTGCCAAAAATGGAGTTTGCATCCCTGGCCAGTTCATAGACACTGATATATGAAACTTCGCTAGCTAATATCACGTTTTCAGTTAAGAATCGACCTAAGGCTTGACTAATCCTTGGCTAACTTTGAATAGGTCTTGGCTCGTGCTTCTTGCGTTAGTCAAGGATATTACAACCTCATGCACGAAAATTACTTGTCAAGCTATCGACGATGATATATATGTTGAATATATATCTTAAATGTAAACTTCTCTTCAGAGAGTGAGCTTAGGAATGAACTGATTTGCTTACGAAATGACCGTATAGATGTGAACACTCACACGCATGCCTGCTTAATGTAGGCGGTCGGCGGTCGCCACACCTGAATACCTAAACTAGACTCCGCCGGTGCGCCTACTTATGTTACATAATAGTGTCCACACTCAGACTTCAACCATCAAAAAAAAAAAATGAATATATCTTAGTGCATCTTCAAGAATTTTTTTGTAGTTGGGCAATTGCTGTCTAACATACTTATTTTCTCCGCCGATGAATAACACGAGTTGTTGGAATAAACTCCAATCTTCTGGCCTGCTCTTGGCTGTACTTGAAAAGCTCGTTGAATCGTGAGATCCGCATAGGCAAACCATTACCTCTCGGAGAATTTTTCGCCCAGACATGTATATTTGAATGAGACTGGTTTGGCGGTCATAACAAGAAAGACTATGAGAGTAAGAACGTAGTGTTATAAGAAATCAATGCATGACGTTAATCCTCATACACTCGATTGAACATAAGTTTGCAAATCCAAGAAATTGAGAAACAAAGGGTAACGGACAGACCTTGTGACATCGAGAGTGATTGTAGACTTGTATGCTTCGCAATAGACATTGTTAGAAGTCGTATTACTACCCACTTCTTGGACCTCCGTACACTCACGTTCTTTGCTGTATGTACTTTGTACTATAGTCGTGGTCGTGACAGATTGTCACGACCAGCCGCTGTCCACTAGGGTTTCTGTATCTCTCGGACTGTCACGGTTGGGTATATATTCCCCATCCGGGTTCTCTCCCCATTAACTAAGGTTAGGTTGGAGTTTAATTGGGTGCAGATTTCCAAATCTAATGGAGTTCTCTGGCGTCCTGGCCACCCTATTTCCTCGACCAGCACTAATAATTTCCGTTAAACGATGGGAGAAGTATAACTTCCGCAAGAGCATGTCGGATTTTGGATTGGAGTGAATGGATCTTTATTGAGCAATTCGAGCAGTGATTTGCACTCTAAATGCATAATAAAACTCACATTTACACACCGCCTAAACTAAGGTTTCCAAGTGCAAATAAATTAAGCTAATTTAGGTGCCGACTAGACTAAGCAGACCTGCTCATGCGTCATAGTAAACGCAAAGTTTCCATGTTTCAGTACAGAGTAATTTCTCCGAATCTAGTTTCACCGCCTTTTCTCAAGAGTACAGTACTGTAGTAATTCTGTAGTACAGTTTTCTAGCATTTAGCGCATGGCATTTAGATAGATGACGAATCGGGGGAATATTTATTATAGCAGCGAAGTGCTACTGTCAGTTTCATAAAAGGTAAGTATACTGCATCTCTGAGGTTCTGATATGCGGGATCCAGACCTTTCAATCAGAAGGGTTGAATCTTTGTAAAGCTTACCGCGTTTTTTTCTCAGCTATGCTTTGTATATCCTCACGGGCTCGCCACACACTATTATCAAACTGAGATATCCTCTGTTAGTTCTGGATACAACATCCAGAGCTCGATGCAGGGTTTGCCAAACCCTCTTGTTCGTAAAACCATGACCACTATACTCTATATCTACGTACTTTAGTCAATCAACTGTGGCGAATTAGTTTCCTAAAGCTGTCTGATTAAAATTGATCAAAGTGAAGCTTAGTTTGGATATTAATGAAATATAACATGAAAATCTTCTGTTTTACAAACTTACTTAGGATTCTTTGTTGGTATGATAAACATACTATTTTACAAGTAAGTTTTTGTTAAAGTGATAATATTTCAATATTTTTTCCTTATTTTATTGGTATTTGATATTTTATGTTGTAAATTACTGTGTATATTATGGATTTCAAATTGTGAATAGAAAAAAATTTCAGTATCTCTTATTATTACTTTTATCAAAAAGTAGTAATAAAATCTAAGTTCAAGCATTTTGATGAATACTGTTCTCAAATTAAAAATAGCTTACAATTATTTTGTAATCTTATTTATATTCATGTACTTAAAGATCACCGGTTCGTCAAGTGGGTTGACTCATGTCTCATCCGTTTACCAATGAGTTTCATCGTTTAGAGGGTCTACAAAAATAACAGATAAGATGCCACATTGTCTAGACATGATATAAGCGAAGTACCAACTGCACACGACGTCACTGTTTTAAAGTGCGTACTTTAAGCGGAAGATACTTCATGTGTACGTAAAAAAATTTCAATGATTCATGTCAAATCATTCTAATTTGGTTTACACGTATAGCCAGGAACAGACTTGGGGATGGATTTGGACTTGAAGAATAGAAATGTAGCTTTGAAATTTTGAAGGGTATTTCTCATGTGGAACTAGGTATGAAAGGATAGAGCTGGATTTGGTATTTTTATGAAGTGTAGTTTTAGACATGATAGGGGACTCAAAGGCTAGAGTTGGATATAACACTCTTCAGATGGTCATTGTTGTAGTGGGCATGTGACCCATAAACAGCAGTTTAGTAGTTTGCTAGTCTCAAACATTGCTCATGAGCCGATATCTTTGAAGATTAAATTAAATATGACTCGATCAAATACTTTCTTTCGTTCTGGTTGTTCCGAGGTGTCCTTGTAAAGGCTTCAAAAAGAAATAATTTATTTCACTCTCAATACGGATTATGTCGTTGATACTTATCCACCAATTCTGCCGGGCTGGTGCGTTCAAGAGGTCTGCTTTCCCTTTAGTTTTAAAATTTAGGAACAGATACCCATCAGAACTTTCAGTCCATTTCGAGCACGACCTGAGATCCTACTCAAGGGCAATCTGCAAGGGCCACTCAGAAGCCAAGTACAATAGACTGAATTTGAAATTGAATATCCAGGTGCAAAGGTTGAGGTAACAAGATGCTTGCCTACTGTACTTCTTAGTTGGTATATTACTCGTGACCATGTCATATAACCCATCATCAGAGAACTTACACCCCTACTCTCGTCTTGAGTTCCAACCGCAATGCAGATTACATGGGAAGAAGCACTCTTTACTACTGACTAACTTACCGAAGATGGCATGCAACAGTCTAGAATATTAAGATCCATTAAATAATCAATCAAGAACGTGAGAGGAGAGTACTCATATTTTCAAAACCATCAACTTTACTGTCCAAAGAATGTGATATTACAAATTTACACATTGTTGATTATGATACAAAATGTGCTCAACCCCAGGAAAATTAATCTCGACCCGATAGAGGTAGCGAACTTTCTAACTAAGGCAATTTCAACAGTATATGATCCGCAACTCTTTTACACAATAAATGGTGAATATAATCCTAAATGACTTCCAGGCTTCCTACTATGGATACTAAAGGGTGTGTGGAAAGAGCGCCAAAAAATACACCTGTACTGGATAAAACTGGCAGCCGTTGCTCCACGTCTTCCGCACGCTCCGTGATTCGGAACTCGTCTTCATCTGATCATCTGATAGTCAGAAAGACCCACACGCTAAACCGTGTGGGCATGTGCAACGCCATGATAGCAACAGGACATATATAGATATAGGTATATATGTAACACTCATCCAGCCTTTCCCGATTTCCCAAATAGAGGCCCGCCCGCAGCATCATCAACACCGGTGCTCCGTGCTAGAACCAAAAAATAAATTGAAGTGGGCACGATCAACGCCAATCTTTGTTCAAAGCTGGCCTGGAGAGAGATGAACACTAACATATTGGGAGCTCCAATACGCAAGAGTTCAGCCGAATGGCTTGGCTACGTCGATAAATGGCTGGAACAGAAATCAATACAATCTAACAGCACAAATAACACCATTAATAATTCCCGTCGGGTGCAAGAGGTTCGACCACAATAATAAGACCCCTCAACGGAAAAACAAAGTCGAGGTTCTCTTCTTCCTCGTGCTAGGATTGGAGACATGAGCATCTTAGGCAACTTCTCTCTTTCAAATCAACCCTTTTTCTTTCTTAAACCAGATATTCCTCACTTCTTATCCCCTCAATCTACATCCAGTGAATTTCGGCTACAGTTCATAGGCTGTGGAGATTGAAGGGTTTGTCATCTACACAAATCATAGATCTACCCGGGTTACGACAGACAAGGTGCATAAAAGGTAGGAACTTCTTGGTTTTCTCCCTATATCCTTTGGTAGATTGCGCAGTTAGTTGAGATCATTAAGTTCCCAGGAAGCCGTGATCCGGTCGGGATCTCGACCTCGACGCTAGTTCAGTTACAATGCTGAACAGTTTCTCCCACAGTAGCAGGACGTAAGGTTCCAATTAAAGACTGGCAAGTGGCTCAAGAGTCAGTGAGGGAGATATTTTGTGGGCGTTTCTACAGATCTAATACCGTACCAAGGCGCAGAGTATGTACACGTTCTCTTGTATTTTACAACCAGCCGACATCTGCTAGCTGAGTCGATTTCTCTAGATTTGTATGTGTCAATCTTCAACCTAACCTGGACGCGACCCCGTAGGCGCAACCTTCAGTCAGATATGTATAATGCGTGAGTGTTTCGATCCACTTCACTCTTCGCTGAATCGATATCTTAAGTCGTGAAAGAGAGTACATCAGGACTCACCTGCGAAAAAGGAAACGACAATGGCAGACAATATAACAACTTCCATCATTACTAATAAATCCACTTCACAAATCATTTTTATCTCATAAAAAACGATAGACATACCAGCTTAATCATCAAAGGATTCTAGAGCAGGAAATAATCATGCAAACCCACCTTGTACGATGAGTTTGCTACTTGGGAAGACGATTACTGCACAAAAAACCGATAGATAAATCAAGCAATTCTTTCGGCGGCAGTATATCACCTCCTAATCTAAGCATTTCTCCTGACATGGACGACTTTTCGTAGTACCACTTTTACCCGACTCACATATATAACAAGGAGGCTTACTGAGCAACGGAATATATACTTAATGATTATGGACGCACGAGCATAAAAGGCTTTAAAACATGAAGTAAAGAACGGCAACCTAACTAACGAATAAATTTAGTTCCAAATCAAACTAGGCAAAACCGATGTCTTCTGCAAGTAAGAAAAGCGGAAACGAAGACTTATGCAGGACGAATGTTATAAGAGACATCGATCGCCAATGCAATGCAGACGCAACAATCACAAATATGTACTGACAGCTAACACAACTTCACGAGAAACGTCACTAGCTACACTGGTGGTTTTACACATTTGCGAAAACACAATGAGACATACGGCAGCATGAACGAGGAAATGTAAGACACTGTACAGATAAGAAGCTGGCACCATGCTGTACGGGTGGACACCTCGATCCTTCGATAGTGAGGTCCGCACTCACTCAGTCTGTTTCATTCAGTGCATTGGTGATAGAAACATGTGGCGATTACGCTTGAAAAATCCCGTTCTCAAAAACTCCTCCGTGGAAAGCCATGTCAACCGACCTAGACGTCAATCGGCCCTGCAGAATCGCGAACCATGTCCGCCTGATGCGTTCCTGCTCTACCAACGCCTGACTCCTGCATTTGAAGTCGCACCTCCTCCAAACCATGTCGTAATGCCACAGAAAACGGGTACTTGACTAGAGCGTGCAAATAATATTCTTCCAGACACTCATCTCTCGTTACGTGTCTGAGGAGCACTCCGGCTTCCACCCAATAAACTTCAGGAGCAACTGGAGAAGACTGTTGAAGGGAGCTTATGAGCAGAGCACTTGCCCACATTGCAGAAGACAAGGACTTGCTGATTGAGGACCCACCTTCTTGGATTACCATCTTGCACAAGGAAAGAGCCACCTCTACATTGCCAGGCACAGCCTCTAGAATTCCTTCAGCAAAATGGAAAACATCCTTCTTGGTATGGAGGACCTCGGAAGGTAGGAGGGAGGGCCCATACCATATCTCAAGAATGCAGTTCAGCAATGAAGGGTCTGTTGGCAAGGGACCTAGCAGATCAACAAAAAACTTCCGAACATGTGGCCTTTTCAGCTCTTCTAGAACTTTGAATGATAAAGGTTTCAACTGCGATAACATGCAAGACTCTGTTTTGCACCTATCAAGAAGGCGCAGCAGATTTTGCTCCTTCACATCCGCACTCAAAACTTGAAGACAAGCGAGCTCTTTCCAGCACTGCTTTAAATCCCGTTCCAATCCTGCATATCTCATAGCTTTGTTGATCGCTGACAGAGAACCAGCTCGGTCCCCACTAAGTGCTTCAACGAGTGCTAAATTTATCAGGCCATACACTGAATCCTCGTCATACCTCGCCTGAGCAAAAGTACTTCCTTCAGAGCTTCCAGATATGAACAAAAGAGAGTGGTAATGTTCTCTCAAATGACTCCAGATATCGGACGACTCGTCTTGCAGTCTGCTCCCTGTCCTTACACCAATGCGTCCAGTGGAGTCATTACTTTCACAGGTTTGATTCCTCGAATATGGATCCTCCGTTCGAGCAATTGGATGATGTATCCTGCTAGGAATACTCTTACTTAGCACTTTGCTGACCGAGGTGCTGCCACCCCGCAGCCATCCGTGCACTGCGTACTGATTCCACAACCGTTGAATTCCAGGCTGGTCGTCAGGCCAACACGAAACGGCCTCCTCAAATACTTTCAAACCGGCGTCACTACCAGCCCGACGTTCCTCAATGCGGGCACAGACAAGAACAAGCTCCACAGAAGTTGGATACAGGTCGATCAAATGCTTACCAAGACGTGCTGCACTATCTAATCCCTCATAGATAGCTAAGCATTGGACATAATTCACCCCCAGCATCTGCTTGCTTCGATTGTTGCAGTCAAACATCGATGGGTGTGGATCTTCAAGTGACAAGCATCCTCTTCCTGAAGAGGCAGCGGTGCTCAGTGTCTTCATAACGCGTGCACATTTCACCTTCTCAGAGCTGGCACCCTTACTCCAGGAAAGGGTATAAGAAAGCTCATGTTTACAACCGAGCCGCCTGGTGATGACAACTGGCAACTCCCCACATGCAGAGAGGTAGGTGCAGGATACCCAAAGTATACATGCATCATGCGGCGTCAGATAAGAGAGAAGAGAGGATGTGCTGCCCCTGCGGAATACCTTTTGAACTCCGGTGGAGGCATCATGAATTAAATCGTCCACCCAGGTAAGTGCATCTTGCATGCTTCCCGAAACACACATGCAGTAGAGCATCTGCAGGGCAATGTCTAGCAGACAAGCACTCGTATCTTCCTTCAAAAGCTCCGACTGATTTCCATTCTCGACGAGTGCCACAATTGCTTTCTCATAGGCCTCCATGCGTGAAGAAAGTTCAGGTCGACTATTGATGTACAAAAGCCAGAGTTCGTAAGACCCTGGAATATACTGTATCTGCAGTGACGGCATCCCAAGACGAATCCGCCCACCACCCATCCGAGCGCATGCCAAAGAGCTTCAGATAAGCGTACAAACACCAAGAATTTCGAACATACATGCATGTCGGTGAAGAACCTTCTTGGAGCGTATACTCATCTTATATAAGATGTCAAACATGATAGTACCAACTCCGTCTGACAACTACAACTACATCGTCCTAAGCTGTAGTCTGATCGAGATCAATTGAAAATGTCTGAAGAAGTTGATGTGCAAGACCCTAACAGAGAACAGCGCTAACAACTTTATAACCTGATCCACTATTACAACACAAACAATCAAATACAGGAATGAGTAGGGTACCGCATATTGGAACATGTCGTCACTTTCTGGATTGTCTCTTCGGGTGTGAAAGAGGCAAGAATACGCCATCCACAAAGTAACCGAGTTTTGTTTGGTTTCCAAACCTCGTGACAAAATGCACAAAGCCTGCACCATTCAAGGTAAACACTCACTGCAACGTACTCCACAGGGAAACCCTCAAGAGGCTCCAAGGGTAAAGTTTTCTGTTATTGTTGCAACAATGATACAAGATCGTGCAACGTTCTAGGGACATAGAAACGTCTAAAGTTTCGACGTTGTAAGAGATTAAAACAGAAGATCCACATCGTAGTTTCCGTTTAACCGTACTAAGTTAAGTGACAACGGCAAGGTTTATGAATTGCAAGAGCAACATATGGACGGTGCCTCACAAATACAGCTCACAACATACGTACCTCGTCCCGTGCTTTGGGCTTCTCACAGGCGATGTCAAAGTCGATGTGATTCAATGCCAGTTCTAACCACATTTCTACGTCTTTCGACCCCTGACGTGAACTACTCTGCAGTTTGGGAGTGATTGCGTCATTAAAGGTGTTCCAGTTGACACATGAACAAACATCTGAAAGTGCAACGTCACTCCGACCTACGAACTTTGAAAAAATGACAAAAGAGAAAACTTCCCGACGCAGTGACATACTTCATCCTGCAAAGCAAAAATCTTTGTGAATATGCCGGTATGTGAGTCTGCGGACGCAACAATACGTCTAAAGTTTCGACGTTGTAAGAGTTTAAAACAGAACATCCACATCGTCAATTCTGATTCAACCGTACCAAGCTAAGTGACGACGTCAAGGTTTATGATCTTCGCAACTTGCGTCAGTATATGATCAACTGAGGGAAGACTATAGAATGTTGGGCTTGTTGCTTGCTGGTTAACTGTGTTTTAGAAGGTCAAACTAGAACACAAGAATGAGTACGATTTGAAGAGCAAAACTTGCACGCACCTTGAATACACGTTCCTCCTGTGGACTCCCGATGTATCGCCAGTTTGGTAGCTCCGAAGCATCAGAAGCCTCGATGACTGAAAATCTGGACTTCTCGTTGTCCAGCAAGCATGGAGAATCTGAAGGCAAGATTCTGTGTATGGAAGATGAGAGTAAAAACGAATTGTAGATTTCAGTTCTCCCTTTACGTTGAATACCAGGTATTCCAAGCCTAGTGCCGGTCGGATCCTCAGCCTTTAAAGTGTAATGTCCTATTCGGTATGTGGGTACGGATATTTCATAGTCGTGGTGCTTCCTCCGAGGGGCGCTGTTCGATGGGGACACAAGTACGGTGCAACCAGATTCTTGAAGTAAACCTGAACCTTCGGCTCCTGGATTCTGTGGTGACGGTATATTTCCAAAAGATGGACCAGTCTTCGACCAGGTGCTGTGACTGCCATCCACATTTTCTGCGAAATCCACAACCTTTTGGGATTCTTTGTTTGCAGACTCAGACAAGACATGGGAGGGAGATAACGTGTAGTCATCAGCATGTTGCCATGGACAGTGATTATTTCTACACTGACCCCTATGTTCAAATCTACACAAGGGCTTGTGTGGATTGATCGCATGACTCCAAGTGCTTGACCTACTTGAAAGTCTCGTGACATCTGCAAATTGAGGAAAAGATCTGTAAGAACGAAAGACGGCCAATGGACTTTCGTATCTCGGAAGAACAGCCGGAGTTACAGTAGCCGAAGAGAGATCTTTCTCCCCAGAACTTGTGGTTCTCTCGAACATGGGCGTGTCTGCAAATGAAACGATATCTCTCGGAATGTATCTAAGCGCGTCGAACGCCTCTGCTGATGGAAACCAAGGTTCCGAAGGAATATGAGGCAATCGCCTTAGGGCAGCGTTGGATAAAACCTCCGTCTTCTCTTCCAATGTCTTATGTGATTGTACTGCACTCTGTGCAACTGGTTCAGGACACTCCACTTGCGATGATTGTGCTTCCTCAACACCATTGTCTGCTGGCAAAGCAATCAGAGGACCTTTGCAGCCCTGGTATTCTTCATCGCCAGCCTCACCGTGGGTCCTTACCCCAAACAGATCCAAGAGCTGGCCCAGAAGGTGGTGTTGTAACGGCGGTATAATCTGCTCCTTATCGGCATCAGTCGGTGTTCGAAAACCCATCTTAGCCACGTCTTTTTCATCTCCGGAAGGTCTTTTGCGAACATTTACCTCCAACGAAGACTTCTTGAAGACCTCTACCTCAACTCGTTTGCTGTTCTCTATGTTCCTATTCAAATTAGAATGCTTGGACTCAAGCGCGTCCAGAGTTCGACACGCCGGTTGATTGTTCTCGGCTTCAATATCAGGAGAAACCTCATCGGCAGACTCCCTGGCAAAGCTGTCGCCATGTACCGTGGTTTGTCCCTCATCCACTCCGGTCAAGGCCACCGACTGCTTCTGAGAGTAATCGTCATCTTTGCTACAGGGACCAACCATTTCCACACCTTCTCTTATCACACTCTCCTTGTCAGAGCGAACATCTTCATTGAGACGTTGAAGGTTTGGATCGAACGGAGCGATGAACGATTGGTCCAGCCCGGGATCTCTCCGCGGAGGATCACATTCAAGCGATGCAATTCCATCCTCGAATTCTGGGCTGCATCGATCATTTACTGTGGACACCTTGTCACGGCAGGCGGATTGAAGCGACAGAGAATACTGTTCTGCTGTAACATGCACTGTCTCAAAAGCTGACAATGTTTGACGGTCATGACTTGGAATTCCTCCAACTAAATTTTCTTGTCTCGTCTCCAAAGCAGGCCTAGAATCGGGCTGAGACAAACAGCTGCGAACATCCGTTTCGCTGTTCGCTCCAAAGATCCTCAAAGAAGAACCATCATGTACCTTCTTCGTGGTCTTAAGCTTCTCAAGGGAGTGTGTCTCCTGCTCATCAACCATAACAAGCAGAATCTTTCAAAAGTAGCAAAAGTAGCCATTCAGTAGACGAAGAGAATCTGGAAAAGAGAATCGCACCAAGTACTGTGAAACTTCGCAGAAGCAAAGAGAAACGTCGATCTACGACAAGGTATTCTTCAGCAAACTTCGAATGCCCAACTATAGCGTAAAGAGGACCTTAAATATTGCAACTTCGAATACTTGTATTAAAAGTTCTCAATTGCAGCCAAAGAACGAGGCGAGTCCTACCTCGTATTGTTCCATTGCATCCGTATCACCTGCAGAGAGAGAGGACTGGCACATTGCTCCTTGCTCAGTCAACATGTTTGAGCTCATGGTTTTGCTTTGACCTGGTCAAAAAAGAAAATTGGGGTTACAAGAAAGCTAAGACATTGGTTCAAGAAACTAAATGGCAAAGCATTTCAGTCAGCCATCTTCCAAGCCGTACCTTGAGGTCGAACATGGTCTGTGCAGGTAGAGAAATCTTCAGAATCAGCACAAGATCCTCTTCGAGGCTCTGAAAAAATTTCCCGGGAGCTTTCACTGACTGAAGCGGTAGGACTGAGCTTCATCTCTTCAGATGCAGCTCGAGATAAATTTAGTCGATGCTCTACTGACAGGCATCCTCCATCAGCTACTCCGCCGGAGACTTTGACACCAATGTCAATATCCGGCCCTGTTACTCCGTTCATAAGAATTCTTTCTGAAAGTAAACCTTGATGCTTTGTAGCCAGGTCCTCAGATTTGTCCGAATCTTGATTGCTAAAAGTTCCTGCCTTAAGGAAATCAACTACGGGACCATCTTCGATGACAGCCATCACTTTCCCAGAGTTTGAAGTCGAATGATGATCAACATCACCGGTACACGACTTAAGGCCATGACCTTGATCCTTTTCCAGGCCATCACCATCATCACTACTTCGTAATTCTGGCACATCGAACGCTCTGTCTTCAAAACAAGTAGACAGTCCTAACTCATGAGTACTTCGACCCCGGGCTCTCAAAACACCCCCGTCAACTGGAGAAACAACCTCAACAACTTCTACAGCCGGTGATTTAAACTCTCGGTCACGGTCTTTATCCGCCGCGCTCGCGACAGGAAGCGATCCCTGTTTCATTTTCCCAATTACAATGCAGGGATCTTGCAAAACATTTTTCAATCCATCCATTAAAATTTCAGCCGCGGAAGTACCAGGATCACCGTCCTCATGATGTACACCCGCTGCAAAGTTGATGGCCGAATTGAAGGTCTCCTCATAGTCATGAGACTTGTTTCGTGATGCTACTTCCCAGCTGGACACAGCGTTTAATCCACAATCAGTAGCTATAGTATGATAGCCTTGCTTCTCTGAGTGTTTTGATAGGGATGCGTCGCATTTGGCCGGTACTTCTTTTCCTCTGGCCGATACTCTGTTGAGATCTGTGTCACACCCTGCAGCTGTTATCTCCCCACAGCTGACAGAAACATGCTGGCCTCCAGGAGCACTAATATCTGGCTTTCCTCCTTCCGGAATCTTGGCTTCACTTTCCTCTGAAACAAGAATACGGGTACCAGAAGGTGCCGCTACAACCTCAGTTGCTCTTACAGGTCGAAGGTCCCTGCTTTCAGTTTGTGGCACAACTAAAGGACTCCTTCGTGGCTCTAGGTAGGTACTTTCCATCGGTTCTCTTCGAGAAACTACGTCTCTGTCATACACATGCACAACTGCTTCCTGTGATATTCCATCTGAAGGCACAACTCCTGTGATGTGCTCATCATCTTCGTCCGCAGAAGTGACCGAATCTCTTCTCCATCTTTGAAGCCCGGTTGTCAACCCAGCGTCCTTCATAGAAGAGGGTCCTATACTCTCCGCAACTTGGATGGTAAGATTCTCCTCTCCGTTTGCGCCACAGGGCTCTGGCTCTGTGGATGGTTGATAAGATGGCAAATAACGAGCACAAGGTTCCAAAGATGTTGGAGGCTTCTCCATACTGCAAGGAGGGGCAACCTCAGGACCAGTTAATCTAAGAGAAGAATTATCAACGGATGATATTAACAAGGGTTCCCTGTTAGTAGAGAACTTTCTGGAGTACTGTCTGCCTTCAACCAGGTGGATACGAGACAATAAAAACTCTTTCCTCTGGTTCAGAAGATCACAATGGGCATTGACTTCACGAAGAGCTCTCTGAGACTCCCGATACTCCTTTCGAGCAGCTCTCTCTCTAAGTTCGCAGTGGTGTCTCCTTTCTTGTGCTTCTTCAAGCTCCTTATCGAGCAACTCCTCCTGGGCTTGTAATTGCTCGAACGTTTCAGAATCAGGGTCAATATCCCAGTTGTCAGCGTTGGAACAACCTAAACCTAAGGACTGTGCGGGATGAACTTCTGGTGTCAGCAATACACTTGATGGCCTCAAATACATGCCAGTCTTGACTTTCATGCCTTCTCGTACTCGTTCATTGCTAGAAACAATATCATGCTTCTTCGCTGACGGCTCTGTTCCGGCCCCGGGTTTAGTAACACCAGCATCAGGAACAGAAACTCCAGCAAGAGCTGCTAACGCGTGTGATCCTTCATACTGAAACCTCGGTTTCTGTGCTTTGGATCTCCGATCGTCTTCGTTCACAAAAATCCTAGCCAACCCTTGAGATAAGGTAGGCACCTCAGAATTTTGCACACTCCCTGCTGCGATACCTCCATCTTTCCACCCATTTGCCAAACCATCCTCCGTGTCCCTCGCTGGTTTTTCTCCCCTTACGACATCCTCACCGCTAAAAGCTATTCTGAAAGTGCTATCTGGAACTGGTATCAATCCGATGGTATGAGTAGGTGATAACGTGCTCGCTGGACTTACCTTTTCACTGACAACTAGCGCTTGAACAGGACCGGCAGACGAGATGGCTCGAGGAGCTTGACAGCTTTGAACAAGCCCTGGGTGCTTCAGGTTCGGAAGTCTCTCCCCTCGGGTGGCCTCCACCTGACCTGCTTCTGCCGATATCTTGAGTTTCTTAGGCGCATCAGAGCCTCCAGAGTTGCTGGGGCCTGGTACCTCCACAGAAACTTTACAAGGCATTTCAATGGCATCTACTTTCCGCTTGTGCTGGCTTGTACCTTGTACAGGCAAGGACTTGCAAGTTCCATTAGCTTTAACGGGCAGATTCACTGACAAACCTAGTCCTTTTGAAGTCATTGTTCCGGGCTGATTGTCCAGCAAAGGAAGAACACCTTCAACTCTTGCCACCTTCGTGCTCTGTACAGATTCCACTCCCACATGAGGTCTTTTCATTCCTTTACCGGTACTCTGCCTTCCGAGAAAGTTGTTGGAAAGGGTCCCGGCGCGATATGATGGTAGCTTACATGTTTCATCGGTCACATTATGATGATCAGCGCATATATCCAGCCCACTCGAACTCACATCCTTCTTGTGGCCAGCGAGGCCAACTCCGGCAGGACTTGTAGATGCCAGAGCTATGAGACCATCAGCTTGAAGCGAAACTTCCTTCCTATTTTCTGCCGATATCTTTTCCACCGCGCTAGTGCTAGTGGACACAGGCGCTGGTCCGGCATTAAGGGAACTGTTTGTCCTAGACAGCAAAGGCACAGATGTTATGGAAACTCCAACAGCAATTTCCTTCAAGTCACTTCCCACTTTGCTAGGTTCGGGTCCTCTCGCTGCTAGACGCTTTCTTCTCTCTTGCAATTCACTCTCTTTAGCTGCAATCTGAAGCCTTAAGCTTTCCAAATCTGGACCAGAGCGTAAGTTTCCTGACCCCACTTGGACAAGTGACTTGGCATCTGTCGCTGTCGAGACGTTTGGACGAACCGTATCTATAGCTACAGCTCGAGGGGACTTGCCAATAACAGGAAGCACTGGCGGTTTTGCCTTACTTCGTTCCATCGCAGCTATCTGCTTCTTCATGCGATCTATTTCCGATTTCAAACCTGAAGGTTTTTGATTAGGCCCTGCTGAAGTGGCTTGCGATAGGGGTGTCGAGTTCGGCACGCCAACGCTGCCAAGGGTGATCTTCTCTGGGTTGCTACCCAACTGTGTAGAGGAGGAACTCAAAGAATTTTGATGATCCCCGTCGCTGTCACTGTCCTCGTCAAACTTGATAACAAAGTCGTCCTCCTTCTTGTCGTCCCCAAGTGATCGAGATAGCTTTGGTACGGGGATCCGCAAACTAGCAAGAAATGCCTCAGCTTCATGAGAATCGGATCCCGTATAACTGACACATGGTGCAAGCATTTCCGTCGTACTTCCTTGGAGAGGGATCAGTGATTTTAAAAGAACCTGACCGTGATTCAGTGTGGATTCCTGCATTAGCAACGTATCCACATAAATTTCTGATCAGCTAACATGTGTACACGAAGTTACAAAATAAAAACACGGTGACAATCAATTAAGAGGACGGAATAAAAATGGACAATATGTCCATTTGTATCCTTGGTGGTGTCATTCAAGACCCCGGGAGAGTGCACACAAAAATTAAAACTTCATAAAACAAAAGCGTTCAGCCAAAGCAACTCAAGTACAAGCCAACGAGTGAATTTCACGGAGGACCAGTTGAGAACAAGTGTCATAAATAGGTTAATATCTTCAAATGAAGAAAGTCAGCAGTAAAATTGTGCATACACGTGAGATAGGATCGTAGCTTGCTTCTATCAGCTTGTAAATCTATCCTCAAGAGATCCAAAAGAAGCTACTTGTTGAGAAGAATTTATGTTCAATGTGAACACCAGTACACAGAGGAGATCATATCATCGTAAACGGTGTCAAAAAGTTGAAGTTCATAACCGTCATGAGAATTGTACCAGTTAAACGCTATACAGCTTTGGAATGTCAAACAGTGTCCCATATCTAGACAATCCGTCTTCACGCCTGTATTATCATGGCCAAAATCTGGGTTACAAGCAGCGAACCATACTCCGCTTTTTCAAATCCGATTTCAACAGCATTCTAGGCAATATATGCATGCACTGAGTGCATACCACTCTCGACAGGACTAGGACTTTTCTAATATGCCGGAGTCTGCTAAGAAAGTAAGCGTCGAAGATTCAGACCCATGATTTACCAAGATACACGACTCTTATGAGGGTAATGCAAAACAAGCTGGAGAGACTGGCCGTCCCTCCACTTTCTAGTGATTGAGAAGATCGCGATCAGCAGTTCCATTCAAGAAGCCGGCGCGCAAAAGGCTTTTCTTGAAGAGACGTGCTATCTTGGCTCATTCAAAAGCATCTCTGGGAAATACCAAAGCACTTGCGGAGACACAAACACCCATATCCCTTTGATGTGCTAATCATCACTTTGAGAGGGTAATTGGTTGCCTTCGTAAAGCGCTTGAAGACTGGCTGTTTTAAGATATACGAAAGCAATAGTCTGCCTTCCAACGTAGTCAGAAGCAGAGAAACAACTCCCGTCGATATCATCTGTTCAAGGGGACACGACCGTAAAATGGATGGTCCACACTCTCGAGTCTGCATTCCTCCACCACCTTCTCGGAAGTGAATCATCTGCCTGGGATTTGCTCAAAAGGTGAAGAGTTCCTTAACTGTTATTGCATCAGAGAAACCTCGCCGACACTTGATGTGTGAGCACCTACATCCAGGAGGCTATTTCTGTTTTAACACTAAGTCTTCCTGACTGTAGCTCAGGAACGAAGTCTTCAGTCGCAGTCCCGGCCTCAATTGCCCAGCGATTCATTTTCAAACTGGTGCGATTTTCGCTTCTGAAGTGTGGTGCGCTAGTATAACGTAAAAAACGTTGTTGAAAACTGTATGTGCTTGACGTGGTTAGCCTGGAAGGGGAAAACAGGCAAGAATCCTTGAAAACGGGACCCCGTGACAATCTTGGGGTCCCGCTTTCTAGGATCAGAAGGTATGATCTCAGCACTTTCCCGGCAGAGCTGCATCCCCCTTTTCATCTCTGCGAAATTAGTCGACTGACACATGAACAGTCTCGAGGCATGCATTTGCAGTGTTGAGCACGTCCTGCGATTTATCGAATAAGCGAAGTGCCGGACTGCGGAACTGATGAAGAGAGTATTTCAACATCGACATAGTCCAATTCAGTATTTCCTTTTCAATTTTCAAACGTGTTGGGAAGGCAAGGGGCAGAGGGCTTCCAAGATGCAGAGATATAACAAATTGATACGCAGATTCCCAACTTGATACATTTGCATCGCGGCCCAGCTGAGAATTCACGATAAATGCAACCCCAACGAGAATTCATAGGTGCGAGACACAGGGCACAAAGAGGAAAGGGCATCGTCGACTGACCACTGAGGCAAACGCCGCTGTAGCACCTTCAGCATCATCGTCCGAAGACAGTTCACCCTCTTCTTTGTCATCAGGAATTGTAGCAGGGCTGGGAAAAACCATGGGCCCTTCGCATTTCAAAGAGGGATTGGATGGCGTCGAGTTCCGTCCTTGCCTCTTGGGCATGGATAACAAGGCCAGCTTTCTCAAAGTTTCAATATTGGGCTCTTCCCCGGGACTAATATTAGCGTCACCCATAGTCCCCTAAAAAGCCTTGCCTTTCTTCGACGTTCCGCTCAATTACAACGACAATATCCCCCACTCCCCATCTTATCCATGATCCGGGTGTTCATCACTTAACAAATCCACCTCTTCCTCGTCCGCTTCACTGCACATTCTACTCAGCAATGAGCCCTCTAACCCGATCCGCCATACCCCGACCTCAACACCCTTCCTCACTCAACTGAATCTAGGCAACACAAAGAGAGCTCCCCTCCCCCTACCTCGACCTCCCATCCTCCATAGCTGTTTGGCTGTCAAACCCCTTCAGCAGTCCAACAGGAATTCCGACAATTTCCAGATGCCTTCCTGTACATAATCGAAACCAGGCGACACAGAGAGAAAGCTTCTCCTACCTCGACTTCCCGTGCTCCATAGCTACCGATCATGCCCTCCACATGATGCCTTCCAAATAACTTGGCCTCCTCCTCCTTCCTCCCTATGTCCCTCACAATGGCGTGTCCAAACTATCCTCACCCTGTCACACCTCTCGTCCCCTCCTCTTGTCCGTGTCCTAGGGCCACGAGCAATTGATCGATTGGATCGATTAATCGAGTGAGAAGCGCGACACGAAAACAGGCGACCTAAACAAAGTTCCGCTGGCTGACGCCCAGACCAGACCAGCACCAAGGCCACCCCCTACTCCCCGCACCTCCTCTTCGAACCCATGATCCGAACCGGAGTTTTTACTCTTCCGAAGCTAAGCGCGCCACTCGTATTCTCTCCCTGCCACCGGGTCCTTCGACTTTTCAGCGGGCTCGCCAGATGGCAAACCAGTCGTGCCATCTGCGAGCACTGTGGTATACAGATGTGCACAGAATTTTGCCCCGAATCTTCATGACTAGTCACTCCGGTGATATCATGAAAGGCCAACCCGAGCCAAATGTCGTTGAGTATAATATCCGCCCCAGTAATTCAAGTTTACCTCTGTTTCTCGGGGCCTAGCCCCATGTTACCCGTTTGATCTCATCCCTGTGTTCCGGTTGATGGCTCTTCCCCTGCTTTTGGCTGTATCACTCGGTCCCGTCGTTGAGACTCCTTCCGAGAAAAAGGAAAAAGAGACAAGTTAGTCAGGTTGACTGCTCGTCCAGAAGCTTCCAGGCTCGACTCCGTTCTGAAGCCCCACGAGGGATAGAACGTCTCAGAACACTTTACGATCCCACGATAAAGACCTGTTCCGCTTTACTTTCAGTAGGTGGATTCTCGTGATGGCTTGTTCGGTTTGGTACCGATGTCGATATGAATTCATGCTAGCACTTAACGTCCATCTGAATGCATGCGATTCAACGTTTGATTTGAAAACTTACCGATGAACGTTGATACAATATGCATGCTATCGGTAATTGTGCAAAGGAACGGTGATTCGCATTCACATTTCCTCATAGTCCATCCAACTGACTGGATACAATATGCATACTACTGCATGATTCTATTCATGACTTTTGAGATAGACTTTTATGATACATGTCTTATCGATTGTGATGGATTTCAAGAACAATATTTGATCATGTTCAACAACTCATAGAATTTGACACTCACAAGAAAGAAATTATTTCTTGAACCATTAAAAAAAAAATGTTTATTTTAAACAAAAAAATTGGCAGAATTTTGATGAAGAGACTATTTTAACTTTTAATCTACATATCAATCACTATATACTTGTAGTTTAACTTCCATCAATACTTAAATAGTAATTTTATATTTACGAAATCATATGCAACATAAAAAATCATAAACTTTCCTTTGGAAGTAGTTTTTCCATAACACTTTTTGATCTTACCAATCTACTCAATTATGTACATGGCATTTTGTGAAATTATTTTTGAACTTTAAAACATATATTTTGAAATGTTTGTTTATAAATTATTTTAAATTCTACATATATTTTAAATAAGCAATACAAATCTTCTATGCTTATCACAAAATTATTTTTCACGTGACATGATATTTTTAAATTATTTTGTAGTGACGTAATAAACATGGAAATTTGTTAAGTCGTTAGTTAGTATCTTTGTAATCAATGTTTCAAACATGTTATTATATAATTTCTAAAGGAAGCGGCTACTTATCTCTCTCTTAGGGCTAATTAGCCCTCACCTTATTATGCGCTCTTCCCTAATTGATCTTACCAGGTTATAGCTTTTAGTATCAACTTGGCAGGTTTTCTTTCTTTCCCCTATGCGTCAAAAATGCTTGTGGGGCAGATGCCACGTTAAAATCATGCATGACACCTTCGCGCGATGCTTGACGCACTTCAGCATTTGATCTTCGCGTTGAATGTCGTCTCCTGAATCTCCATGTACAATGAAATTATCATTGGTCGTACAATACCTTTTCTAGTGGACGAGTTCTTTGTGGTCAAACATGTGATTGAAAATAAGTTCATTCTTTCTTGAGACAATGTAGGCTTGTGGCTAAAATGATGGACTCCTTGTGCTTTCTACACTCCATGAGGTGGAGGTATGCCAAAGCAAAGCTTTGCTTGTCTTAATCATGTTCATGATCATTTCACATCTCCAAGTTTGCCATAACATGTCAATCAAGTCGCCTTGCACAAATTTGATCTTAGCTCCACGAATGCTCGTGGACTTCATCCCTTGTGCATGTCATACTTTTGCACAAAATCTTCTCGTGCCTAGTACCTGTTGTACTTACTTTGACAATGTGAGGACACTATGGTCGGTTGGATTCAAGTTTAGATTTCACAGCTTCAAGAAAGATGGAGTGTTTTATCGAGGAACAAAATCCCCTCGGCACAATTCCACACATTGTTGTATGCATTGATGCTCAGATTATGTTGTGTGCAAATGTAATGAAACTTTGAAGTACCGTAATATTTTTTAGCACATTCACAAATCAAACTCAACGTCCAAGACTTCTTGGACGCTTAGTCTTTTATTCTCCAAATTCTTTACTTATCAGTCGCTGCATATGTTACACATTATCATTTCACTTTGCACGGAGATTTAGTATACGACATTCACAGCGAAGTTAAAACGACTAAGTGAATCAGGTATTGCGCAGAGTAGCCAAGCATGGCTTTGACGAGGCGTTAATCACGGAGTCATCTCTGACATAGAGTTGAAAGAATTAATATCCGCCAAGTTGCTACTCATCACACGAAAGCTATAATCCAGCAAGACCAATCAAGGAAGAGCATCCGGTAGGGTGAAGTCTAATTAGCCCTACTTTAAAAACGTAAATGACTATTATTTGACTAGAATGCAATAAATATCTTTTAAATCCAAACTTCATGGAGAGATTCTAACGTGGTAAATTTGAGAATTAAAACTTTAAGAATTTGAATCTATTTTATTTTAAAGACCTAATAACCTTGCAAATATATTTCTAATAAAACTTTGAAAAAATCATTATGAGTATTGCAATCTTCAAAATTAGGTTTTTGTAACATTTTGTTCATTTTTAAAAGACAAAGCATAATAGAATACATGAAAAATCATATTTTTCATTCAATATTCCATCATTTACAATTGATTTATGATTTTAACATTTTTTAATGATGAAATTTCAAATTTTCTTAATATTTATATTATTTTTAAAAACTCAAATTATATAATATATCTAATATATGGGTAAAAACATACAGGTAAAACTGTTTTGTTAAATATATAATCTGTTCATGTTAAAGGATAGATATTAAAGCTAGAGTTCAAAAGTTACAAAAATTAGTCTATTTATTTCGGTTGAAAAAAATTTTCTTACAATTTTTTTACATAGGATACTTTATTTAGATGGTGTTGATCTGACATAGAATTATTTTTCCTGATAAAATCAACGATCAAAATTTGCAAATCTAAGAATTTTATTGCATATAAGTAAACTCTTAATTTATTTATATAAATAAATATAAGAGCTATGAATATGTAATCACTTATTTATTTTATTCAATTGAGTATATTCTTCAATTCTCATGACATGTTAATTTGATGAAATGCGCATACTATCATTAGACGACATGCATTAATGAAAGAAAACTCACAAGACTACATTGTGCGCTCAGTTGATATGATAGCTTCTGACATATATATTTGTGTTTTGAAACAATCTTAAACATATATAGAATTTATTCATACATACATAATTTTATTTTTTATTTTTTATTCCAACATTAATCTACAAATATTTTCAGGTTTTGTCTTTTGAAGATTTCAAATTGAACAATGTGTTTGAAAGATATAGTACAAGTCACCCATGCTCAAGTCTGCCACCTTTCGGTGTAATCACAAGATCCTATCCCATCAATTACAGACGGGCTTGAACTAAAAAAATAATTGAGATTTAATTTGAAAATATCCAAAATATTAACAAATATTATATAGGTAGCTGTATTTGTAATAAAACATATTTTGCACATCCTTTATGATGATTGTTTAGATACATTTTTAACACCTAAAGACTATATCTAAAAAACACTAAAGCTTTGCAGCATGGTGCATCTTGATTATAATCCTTTAGAAATATATACATGATGTTAATAAATAATAACGTGACATACTGAATCATTCCTATGAATTATGTTGGAAAAAAAATGAAATTTATACTATACAATATTGAATAAGAAAATTGTACTCTGATACAGAATACTCACGAGTAAAGTAATTTAGTAAGTACTTTAGGATATTTTGTCTTAATAAGAATAAAACTTTATTCAATCATGAAAACAAAACAAAAGAAGTGAATGATAGATAATTCAACGGCTGAAATATGGATTCAAAAGATATTCAATTTTTAATATTCATATCATCAAATTCATCATATATTTTGATTCATAATTATTTTGAAAAATTTGAATCATATTCATTATCATTGTAAAAAACTTGCTTGATTTGATGCATAGTTTGATTGATTATTACTTTATAGAATTCAGTTATTTCGGTCAAAAAAATATATTAAAATAATCAATAATTTTATTCATTTTTATTGGAACGATTTTTTTAATGTATATTTATACAAACTTTAAACATAAAAAATTCAATACATAAATATTTTGATATATCTTCATGGTTTTCATCTCAACAAAAAATAAATGGTTTGTGATATATCCCTAAGAATATTCAATATTGGAAATTTGACATATTTATATAAAATGTTTGTCATTTTTTGAACTTCAATATTGAAAGTTGAAATCATTATATACGTTCAAATAGTTTTTAAAAGAAAAAATATATAAATTTTGATTTCTATACAAAGATTCCAAAAAATTCATATTTCCAGAATAAAACTATATTTTTCACTTATCAAAAGAATAATGAGATAATGAAGTGTACACTACTTTATTTTAGGTGTGAATTTGAAAAATTGTCTTTTTTTTACATATAGTTTTATTTTCATGCAGTCAAATCTTGTCCATAGTCATATTCAAGAAATAAGTTGTTCATTTTGTTCCATTCATGAAAGAATGAAATTTAATCACAATGTTAATAAAACATTTTATGAATGAAATGCTTATTTATATCAAAAATTTCAATTCTGTGAAGTTTATACTTTGTGCAATTGAATTCAAAAATGTTACACACTATTAGATTTTGATTATTGAAATAATAATATCAAAAAAAAATAAAGATATTTGTTTCTCCAATCATCAATTCATATCATACATAATCTATAAAGTTTAGAAAAAATTGAAGCGTTCAACATACTAAATTTGAAGAAATCTCCAAAATTGCACAAAAATATTATTACAAAAAAAATGGTGAACACAAAAAAGTCTAAATCTATGGATTGAGATGATTAGATTATTCTAAAACAATAAAGTGGAATTTAAAAAAAGGTTGTTTATTTCTTTTAATTTATTGCATCTTCTTGTGATATATTCACTGTTAACAGATTATACTTATGTTTTTTAAAGTTCAA